CTTACGGCAGCAGGTCACAATTAGTGTTCATTGGAGGTAGCATGACTGCCCAGCGCTATATCCACGAAGTTTTACAACCACATCTGCTTCCCTTTTTGGAAACACTGCAAGATCCACTTTTTCAGCAGGACAATGCACGACCTCATGTCGCACGTGTTAGTTTAGACTTTTTAGAAGAGTATTTTTTTGAGGTACGACTGATTTTGGAGAATCATTTCCTTGGGGGTGAAAATGAATTTATAAGTATATTTTTTTAGCTGCCACCCCTTCAGAAGCGTTCTCACATCATGCCATCTAGCCTATAAATTGTCTCTATAATAGAGTATTGTTTTGATGTGCAACTCATTTTGGGGAATCATTTCCTTGGGGCTGCAAATGAATTTATAAATACATTTTTTTAGCTGCCACCCCTTCAGAAGCTTTCTCACACCATGCCACCTAGCCTATAAATTGATGTGCAACTCATTTTGGGGAATCATTTCCTTGGGGGTGAAAATGAATTTATAAGTATATTTTTTTAGCTGCCACCCCTTCAGAAGCTTTCTCAAACCATGCCACCTAGCCTATAAATCGTCTCTATAAAAGAGTATTTTTTTGAGGTACAAGTACAGTATTGTTTTGATGTGCAACTCATTTTGAGGAATCATTTCCTTGGGGGTGAAAATGAATTTATAGATATATTTTTTTAGCTGTCACCCCTTCAGAAGCTTTCTCACACCATGCCACCTAGCCCATGAATTGTCTCTATAATAGAGTATTTTTGTGTGTTTACCTACCACCCCTTTAGAGATTTTCTATGCTATTTAGCTAATTATTTACTTTCAATACCGTATATACAATAATCAGTACCGGTGAAATGGGGTGAATAGAAACAGTTTCGGACCTTTCCTACTCTGTTGCTAACATGGTAGTCACCTTTTTGACAACAAAAAATAAGGAATCTACAGGTCTCGACTTGTAGATCAAAAAGCGCATAATAGATTTTTTTTAAATAGGGGGTTTTCCAAATAAAAAATAAAAACGCTCTTTTTCTATTCACCCTTAATGTGGGGTGAATAGAAACACCCATTTAAATTGGTCAAATTTGCTATTCTACCCACACGAAGGCGAATAGAAAAACCTGAAAAATTTTTTAAATTGATAAAAAAATATAAATACACAAAAAAACTGACAAAAACACCAATTTTACAAAAAAAAACATTTATTTCTATAGAAATGTAACAAGTTTAAACATATTATTTAAATTAAACAACTATGATGCAAATTAAATTTTAAAATGTCTCTTCTTGACGTAGATGCTTCTATCTCGTCATGAACTGGGAAAACCTCTCCAACAACCTGGCTAAAATGAAAGGTGGAAACATCCGGAACTTCTGGAAATCCATAAATATATCCTGACGAGTGTTTGGTGGGGCGACTTCTTAAGAAAGTGGCTTCAATGTCATTTTCTGTAATATTAATGACTTGTCCGATAAAATATTTATTTCTTTGTCTATTTCGATATTTTGTTGGAAAACACACCAGAAGCCAAGTTCCTTTATCTATTAAATCAAGCGAAATAGGAGAAACACATCGAAACAATTTACCCTCAAAACAGACTGATGCTGATGAATTATTTGTATCCAACTTATTCTCGGACTTATCGGTGAAACTTGGTAGTGAAGTGTCCATTTCTGAGTCTGCATCTGAAGAATGATCTTGATCTTTTTCCATGTCAGAGTCTTCACTTGAAGAATGATCTTGAGCTTTTGCCATTATTGGCATGAAATTAATAAGGGGCAAATTCATTTCCGGGTCTGAATCTTCATCTAAGGTTTCCATACTTCTTTCCAAATCAGTATCCTCTTGATCGTCTTTATCCAACGTGCTTTCAAAATCTTCACTTGTAACGCTTTTGCCAGCAGGAACTTGAATTTTACGACGTCGACTCTTCACATTTTGACCATCGCCATATCTCATTGTTCTTAGAAGGTTTACCAAAGAGTTATTAAGTCCTTCTTCAATGTTCTGATTCTCATCATTTGTCTCGTCAAGATTTTGCTGCGGAAGGCGTCCCAAGACTTGATCCCTATTTAGTGGAAAAATTCCACACTTTCTAAAGCCAGATTGTATATTTTTTCCAGCATTAGGCTCAATAGCCTTTGACAAGTCATTTAGCAAGAAAGGGAATCTGTCCTTTGGAACCGTGCAATGCTTTGAACCAGCCCCCATTTTCCATTTTTCAAGGATCTGTCGCCAGGCTGTTTTAAGAGGCCGGAAAAATGCCACGTCCAGAGGCTGGGTCAGATGAGTAGAGTTAGCCGGGAGGAATATAAATGAAATATTATTTTCTTCGCAAAGAGATACCGTACTTGCAGAAAAATGTGAACTCAGATTATCGCCAATTAAGTACTTCTTTCCCGGTAGATTTTTTACTGCAGGTATGACAGTGCTCTCTACCCAATCTGAGAAGGAAATCGCATCAAACCAACCTGATGGACTTCTATTAAATCTGACGTCCTTTGGTCCTCCAACTGTCCAAGATGTATACAAATTTTTAGCTTTGTAAACCACGTATGGTGGGAAAAATTTTCCATCAGCTGAAGCAGCGTACATAATAGAAACGGCTGACTTCGACGTATTGCAAATACGTTCTGGATAGCGACAGCCCCTTTTCGAGATTACTTTCTTTCTACCCGGATCGTCAGTTAAATTTGTTTCGTCGTAATTTACTATGTTTGATGGCGGTAGATTTTTCAACTCCGTGGCTAAATTGTCAAAATAAGCATTGATAGTATTGGGAGAAACAGCAGCTCTTGAGCGCTTGATGTTTTGGCAGATTCTAGATCTTAATTCATTTTTGTGACGTTTTAAAAAAGAATAGACAAAGTCTCTGCCAGGGATATTATCTTTAAATCTCGTTATTGTTTTACCTCTACTGTCTAGGTAATTTTTTATCATCATCCTGACGTCCAAATGGTCAAGTGGATACCCCCAATCGGAACAAACTATTAGTTGATGGACTAAAATATCTTCTTCTTGTTTGGTTAGGGCTGTTTGTCCTCCATGAAGCTTCAGATTTCGGTTTTTGTGGTGCCGATAAAGCACAGAATAATGAATGTTGTATGTTTCGTGAGCCACTCTATAACTCATCCCGTTGTCAATTGAAGCAAGGGCTATTTTTAGAGTTTTTTCATCAATTTTCTTATATGTTTTACCTCGAGGGTCTGGTTTATAAACGCGAGGCATTTTCCTGCAAAAGAAAAAACAGTTATGGGGTGGATAGAAACAGCGGGTGAATAGAAACAGCGTGTTTCTATTCACCCCAAAATTACTTAAAAGTGTGGTTATGTATTATATTACATCATAGCAAAAAAAATAAGCAAGACAAGCAATTTCTGAAATAGGCAATGTGAACCAGACACCTTAAAGCTACTTTAACCAAAAACTCAATGTCTTACCTGTTTTTAGCTAACCACTGTGAATAAAGTTTTGCTAGTGATGAAAAAGGCTCATGTGTTGACTCCGACGGGTGGTTGCTACTGCAATCAGGGCTGCCAGCATAAAACATCTTTGGCCTGTTAAAGCAGTTATGGCGACATCTGTTGACCGTTTGAGAACAAATTTGAAGCGTTGGGAGGTTTAATTCCAATGTTGATTTTTTTTAAAAGAAGTTTCCCGTTTTTGTTGCTATTCACCCAGCAGTTTCTATTCACCCCATTTCACGGTAAGTGAAAATTCGATGAAAGGTATTGGGTTAAGTCTTGTTCCTGCGAATTATTTAATTGGGGCGGAAAATGATTCTTCCTATAGGGGTGCTTATTCTCGTGCATATATATTTATTGTTGCGAGCTGTTAGCTGTAACCTTCACAATCACAGTCTTGTCGAGGATTTCGACGCCACTGGTCATTTGGGTATCTTCGGCAAATTGTCTGCTAAATTCACACCGGTCTTGGGATACAATACACCAAGAAGATCAATAACCTAAGCAAATACATGCCGCGACGGCTTAACGAATGTGTAGCAAACAGAGCAGCTTTAACACATTATTAACATTAAGGTGTGACCTAAAACTTGTAGAAATATGCTCAAAATTACGACACTCCCAGTCGGTGTTGCATTCTCTATGTCATTTAGTATATATTTTTTAAATAATAATTGCTGAATAAACTATGGCGTCAAGTAATTTGACGCTACGCTGACAGTTCGTAAAGAATTCCATTTGCCCTTCTGTGAAAAAAAGTTAGCTACGAACATGTATAACAAAAAAATAAATGACATGCCTCCTCCCCCTGAAAGGAATTGCTGCAGACGCACATGATGGTTGCGATAACCAATTCCGCGTGAATGTATGTGATATTTCTAAGTTTTAAGGTAACATTTATGGGGACATCTATGATGAGTGAAATATGCCTGATATGTTAATACATACGCCAGTGTGCTGTGTGATTTGGTTAATCAGGGGATAGGGAATCAAGTTAAGAGTACAATCTCTTCATTAGGCAGGCATCATCAAGCCAGCGTTGCCATTTTTATAACCAATATCTATGATAACCGGCTGTGTAATACTTGTGATAGCACTAATCCAATATATTTATAAGATGAAATGAGCGATTTCTAATAAAAAGATAAACTTGTGCATCTTAGATAGTTAGAGTTGCATTTTTCTAAAACCCATAAAGATATTGAAACCAGCTTTAATGCCCGCGAATGTCACATCAACATGCACAATTTTTTTTCTAAAGGACTTACATTTGTGGCGTAGAACACAAACAGACACTTTTCAAGCAGAATCAACATGGCTCTGTGAAAACAATATTTATTCTTGCAAAAACCAATCCACAATCTCTCTCACTTGGTAAATCAGGTTTAAATGTAAAAAATGACATCGCATAATATCGCAAATAGGATTTATGTTATCACTAACAAGCTTTATACATGACAACAATGTTATTCCATTCAAAATACATATGTATGTATAAAATAAAATGAATTGAAGCATTTAAAAGAATATGTAATAGACACATTCATAATGAAAAATACATAAACATTTAACAAAAAGATCTTATTTATATGATATAAATCTGCTTTCGTAAATTTCAGAGCTTATTACCCGCTTATACAAATTTTAAAATAATAGTTTATTTATCTAGGTAGACAGTGTCCAGAAAAGATCACGCATGGGATTTTGGAGACCGGATGAATTTCCTGAGCATTTTGTATCTTTTTTACTATTTATCCCTGATTAAAAGGTCCTTATGTGTGCATATTTTCAGGAAATGTAAGAGATCTCCATTTTCCCAGGTTTGCAACATATACGTTGCCTTCCCAATGACAGAGTTATGCCGTCTTGGCCAATTACCAAATTACTTGACTGACGATTCGGCTGCCCTGACAAAGTACAAGTTAAAAAATGTTAATAAACATGTTTTCTAATTTTTTAAAGTTTTACAGTTGATTTAGTTTTCATTTTTATACCTTTGTAAATAAATACCTTGAAAGAGGCTGCTGGGACAGTCGAAACGTCAGTAAGTTGCCAACCTCTCGTGTTTTGTTTATTGAAAAGTATTGAAAAAAATTCATGAAATTGTGATGTTATTTGATATAACTTGCGAGTAAAAAGTTCCAATATTCCAGTTACCATGAGGAAGTCTATAATGACACTCACTCTATATGTTTCGGATAACAGAAAAACAATGTTTCGTCTGAGTGGGTCTGTAAACTAAGTGATGAGACTGGCAACGTAGCGTTCGACCTGGCTTGGAGGGAAGATAGGGGAACCTGTGATCCGCCTTCAATACAAGTTTGAACTCGCTCGAGTAATTTGGTTGTCCGTAGCGATTTTTTTTGTGAAACAGTTTTTTTTATTGTGTTCTAAAAACGAGTGACATCAAGTTCGAGCAACGGTGTGCTTCAGACTTGGGCTCAGTGCCTTGGAAACTCTTGCTAAGCTTCAGCAGGCCTACGGAGATAGTGTGTTGTAAAGACCTCAGGTTTTTCGGTGGTTTAAGGCATTTTCAGAAGGAAGAGAGTCGAAGATGAATCACGAAGCGGAAGGCATTCATCTTCAAGAACCGATGAAAATATCGACAGAATTTGGGATCAAGAACAACTGAGTGTTGCATCGCGATAATGCTCCTTGTCAGACAGCAATGTCCATAAACGAGTTTCTGGCCAATAAAAATATCCATGTGGTTCCTCAGCCTCCTTATTCACCTGACTTGAGTCCTTGTGACTTTTTTCTGTTCCCGAAGTTGAAAAATCACCTCAAGGGAACATTTTGGACAGTCGAAAATATTCAAACGGCTGTAACCGCCCAGCTGAAGGCGATTCCAGTATCGGACTTCCAACACTGCTATGAGGAGTGGAGGAATCGGAAGATATTTTGAGAGTGACAATGTAAAATTGTAATTAAATTTGGATAGGAAAAATTAAAAACAAATCAGTCTCATCAATTTGAATCATGAATCATTTCTCCCATTATTAACCCTTTAAGAAACTTTAGACCAGGAGAAAACCTCGCATCCGTGGGAGAAATTCCAACTCGATTGTTTCTCACAATCATATTTGTTGGATGTCCTTTAACATGAATCAAGAGGTTGTCGGTCAATAACCCGTTGCAAATGTGTTCAAGAATTTTTTTAAACTAAATACAAAGACTCGTTTTGGTCGCTCCAGGTAAAGTTTTTTAGGTGTAGCAATATTCTCTCTAACGTGGACCAAATTCGAATTATAAGCGATTCAAATTATGGAAACAACTAAAAAATTGGCGTGCACTTTCCATGCAACGCCCTTATCAGTAAATAAAGGAATATGTTCAGCACAAAGTAGACCCGTTGTCAGTCAAACAGGTCCATACAATTGGTCCATAGACATTCTTTCGTTGCCTACCGGTAGTACATCTGGAAACATCGCCTCTTTCCGATACCTAACTCGGGCAGACGTGGCACCGTGGTAGCGTGGTCAAAGCAAAACACTATGCTGTTTCAGAGATACGTGTGACTCCATATTGAATATTTATCAAGGTAGGCGTACGATGCCAGCAGCAACAGACGAGCGGTACGCGATCCGTCTCCCGAGGATTTTTTCCAAGTTTTAAGAGCTAATGTACAGTCCCAAATTACGAGGTGCACTCCAATCTGAGGAAGAACGGGGAAGTTGTGGCTTTTGTCCGCAGCAGTCTTTCCTGCTCCAAAGACGTTTCTTTGGAATCAGACCGAAAGGCCATTCTGTGACTTCGAATCGACTCCAAAAAAACATCCACCAAATTGATTTGCTGTCTTTATCGATCTCTCTCGAATCATAACTGGGATGTTCTACTTGAATACTTCCCTGTCAAGATCGACTTACTGTACATCAATCACTCCGGTTCAGAGGTAGTTTTCCTCGCTGATTTCAATGCCCGTAATCAGCTTTGGTTGGGCTAAAATCGCGAGCTTATGGACTACCTGGAAAGTCACCGCTTGTATGCTGCCCTCTTATGCAAAGCTTATCCTATGGCCAACTAGAGAAACACTGCAGATTGCTGACCCTCTATATCTTTGGCCGCAAGTTATCCATCGTAATTTACGGGTTCTCCTCTTCACCCCACCACGTCAACGCTGGTGTTCCCCAGGGATCGGTCTTGGCTCCGACACTGTTCCACTTACATGTTAACGACCTACTTTTTTGTCCGATCAACTCAATCCACAGCTTTGCTGATGACAGCACACTACATGCAGGAATTCAGAGCGACAAGCCGATTTCTGCCAGTGAGCTGAAAAAAGCAGACTAGCGAAGATCTCTCTAACGAGAGACCTAGAGGTTATCACTGCTTGGAGACGCAACAATCTTGAACAGTTTAATGCTTCCAAAACACAGTACTGTACCTTGACGAACAACAAGCATCCTAGCTTCCATCCGGTATCGATGGATGGTCGAGTTCTGCCAAAGAGCAGTTCATTTCGACTGGTCGGAGTGCAGATCACCGAGGACTTGATCTGGCACGTACACATCTTGGCAATATAGGTAGCTGCTGAGAAAAAACTAGTTTATTTGTTTAGGGCTAAAGCTCTTTTCTCTGCATGACCATCTCACTCTATGCAAGGCACAGATAACGCCTAGCCTCGAGTATTGCTCACACGTTTGGGGTGCTGCCGCCCCGACTACATTACTTATGCTGGAGGCTGTCCAGAGGAGGGCTGTCCGATGACTCTTCGCTAACAGACAGTCTCGGGACCCTTTCGCACCGGCGGGCCGTCGGCGATCTAGCTTCCTTCTACAGCTACATCAACGGAGTTTGCCCGACAGAGCTCTCCTCCATGATGCCGCCGCACGATGTGTGCCATCTCACTTCTACACCCATCGTAACTGTGACAAACTTCGTGCATCCAGAACTGGCCGATACGACCGTTCCTTTGTCCTGAGGGTATCGAGATTTTGGAACAATCAACAAGAGGAAGATTTTCCGAGTTCTACTAACGTTAGGCAAATTCAAAAATCGGATTAACATAATTTCTTTGAGATCCTCATAACAGTCGCGGTGTCCTAGTATTTAGGCTTCTGCCTGCGCGACTGCCTCGGTATAAAAAAAGGAGCCTTACTTCTTTTTGCTACTAGTTTTTCGTGGTTCAAGATTGGTAAATCAGAATAGAATGAAAATGAAAAGTCTTCAAATGAGCTCTGTCTAGTCCAGGTGACTTGTGATATTATTTTTATCAAAGTATCCAATAAATTCAAATCCTCAATTATATCAAGTATAAAAAAATTAACATCAAGATGAATGAAATGGGGGATACAGTTACTTCTAAAAGTGGATAAATAAACGATGAAAAATAAAAATATATTTATGAGCAGTTTAGAATTAAAAGATGAACTTCTGTTGAAAATTTCACTGATAAGTTGCATAGCTTGTAAGACATGTTCCAAGTTTAAGAGTAACTGTCGCGAAAATCCAAGATCATTTTTGGTACTGAATGATCTAATAATAGACAGTTATTGTATTTTTTTATAATAAATATTTCAAAATTTCCATCTCTATATCTATCTCAAAATATCTCACCCTTGGAATACTATTAATTTTGTGTCGAAACTTTATCAAAATCTGAGTGGTTTCAAATTATGTTTTTTTTGCAATTACAAGACTACCTCTCCTTGAATTCTGACAACTAAAATGGCTATCAGTTGAGCGCTCTTAGGTTTAAACCTCTGAACCCAGGTCCAATGAATAAATTTTTGAGATTCTTGATGGATAAGCTCCCGTCCACATTTTAAGGCTTCCTTACTGAGACACAGGCTCCAATTATTGGTATTTTCAATTTCTCTTGAATTACTGCCATAGCCTACTATGAATGCTATACCATTTTTTATAAGGTTTTGTGTGGCGATTTAGTGATTAAAATGAAAACATTCTGTCACAGCCTCCGAATAAACGAACGGAACTTCAAAATGAACGACTGAGATTTTAGAAGAAGCCTCGTGGATCGCCTCAGCCAATTATCCATTATCGTAAAAATTAACAAAAAAATTACATTGATACTTCTTATGATACATTTTTTAATCACATACAGGATGTCTCAGAAGTCGACGTCAAGCCGGAAACTGGGCATAGTCCAAGTCATATCATAATTATCGGGAAAATATAAAAAAACTCATCAAATTATAGACTTTTAAAGAAAATCGGAAAATCTAGACCCTGTGATGACGAGCTCCACCTGTGCCACGTTCAGCGAGTACAAGCCTGGGATTATTTTCCAAGAGTTTTTTTACAGAGACACCCGGAAGATCCGCGATTATTAGAAAAAAATGTATGGACTGATGAGTCGACGTTTTAAAAAGATTGTTACATGAATCTACACAGTTTACATGAGTAGTATGTAGTAAATCCACATTTGGTGAGACAAGATACATCACAGTATCGTTTTAAAGTAAATATGTGGACCGGGATTCCAAATAGGAGAATCATTGTACCCTTTGAGTTGCCAAAGTTCTTGAATGGCGAAATTTATTGAGACTTTTTACAAAATCATTTACGAAATTTACTGGAATACCTAACACTAAGCATTTACATAGACATGTGGTACCAGCAAGACGCCTGCCCGGCGCACTATGCCGGTTCCGTTATGCCGGGTCCACACCAAACCAACAAAACAGCAACTCAATGTTTTTCAACAATTAAGCAACCAATCGGCAACATTTCGTCAACAATTCGTGTTTTGTTTCTGTTTCTGGCAACTTTTGGCGTTCCCCTCGCGAGTCGGTAGAGATCAAAAGGTTTCTGTTTTGTTTTCATTTCAGGCAACATTGTCGGTGCGATGTGTACTTTGTTGAAAAACAAATATAAAACAGAAACTACTACCAAATTCGAAGGCGCTGTGTAGGGTGTTTAAAAATGAATACGCAGTATGTCGGGTGAAAAATTAAATTGGAGTGTAGATAACACGAGTAAATTAATTGAACTATATAGGGAGTATCCTATATCTTTGTGTTAATGGCATTTCTGAAATTGGTATTTTAATAAATTTCGGGACAGATCAGCTGTATTCATTCTTCAAACTTAAAAAGTTCTCAAAACTATAACACATTTCTCCTCGCAATCCAATATCATTTTTAGGCAAATCGGACAATAATTTTTCGTAACCACGATCATAATCAAATCCAAACGAATAACCAAAATTTCTGTGTTATGTACCGCGGTTATAATATTGCTTAAGACGACACACGGGTTGATGACGTCAGTTACTCGAATCACTTGAACGCGTTGGTTTTAACCGCGGTTTTGTTGCAAGTTGTTTATTTTAGAAAAGCACGTATATAACTTCTGACTATTTTTTTATCACTTAATAATCGGTGCTTTTTCGTCTACAACAGTGTATGGAAAGTTCAAAAAAGAAACCTTTCATAATATTAATAGGAGAAATGTTAAAAAAAAAATGTTTCAATGACGGAACCATGGCTTTGTAGCTATGATAACTTTCAATTCTCTTAACCTTTCCGCATGTCAAAGAAAACATTTATTGATTTAGCATAAATGATAGGGAAAAACGATGAAAAAAGATATTAGCAAAATCGTATACAGGTGGACATTATCCAGTGAGTTTATAAGGCCATATTTTAATATTCTTGTGGTATATGGCAACACAGGATACTTTGTTAAGCATAGGAACTAGATTTAAAGTGTCCCCAACAACAGTAATGAGTATAACTAATAAGGTGCTCTACTTTATGCTACAACTGAAGTCAGCCAGTATCAAGTTTCCCAAAAATGAAGCTGAAGTACAACAAAAATGTCCAATACCCGGCAAAATTCTAACTTATCACATACTCCTGAGTTGGGTAAATACCACAATTTTGCGATGAACTATAACATATAACAGCTGATTCATGACGTCACGGATCTTATAACGAAACTGATAACCACACACTCGTTTGAACGGATCGGTAAATACCAATCCAAAATGGTAAATACCATTTTCATATGGTTATTCGCTTGAATTTGATTCATATCTTCCATGAAAGGATGGTTTCACCCAAAAACGATTTTTATTTTCCCGGTCACAACTCTGGAGAAACACATGATTATGATAAAATCTTTGCGCTTCTGCCTTTCAGCGTAAAAATGCTACATATCTTCACTCTGAAAATTTTTGGTGTGAACTGCACGAAACATAACAACTGAAAAAAAATTTGTCTCTTGGCAATGTCGACATTAGTTTTCATTTTGTTTTGTTGCGTTTCTGTTTTGTTCCTTGTTTTTGTTTCGTTGCTTTGATGTGGACCCGGCATTGGAGAATATCTAGATGCGGAATAGCAGATGGTCTGGTACAATTTTATGGCCAGCCTGCTCACCTGACTTAAATCCACTCGATTTATCGATTTTTTTACTGGGGAGCGATGAAAAAAACGTTTACTCAAAGCTAATCGAGCATTTAGCTGAGCTACGGGGCAGAATAACGGAAGCAGCTGAATTTGTTAATAACGGATAATTCGCCCGTCTGATCATTTTTAAGATTACAAGCTTGCATTGCTGCTGAAGGAAGGCACTTTGAACATTTATTGTAAATTTAATAAATACATTCACGAATTAATAAAAGTGGCGTTATTTGCGGTCACTACGGAGAATATCACTGTCCGTCACTCCGTCTATGTAATGGGAACTAAAAGTTCATCACAGGGAGATTTTTTGGATTTTTAAAGCATATAATTTGAAAAGTACACGACTTGGATTTTTTTATATATTGTTCTGACAACAATTATGACTTGGCCTATCCCCAGTTTCCAACTTGATGTCGACTTCTGGGTCACCCTGTATACATATACTTTTTATATTTTTGATTATTTATTTTTTCAGCACCTCCAGTGCCACAGAAGACGAAGTTTTACCATAACTTCGTAGCCAATAGATCGGACTACAAAGCATTCTAGCAACCATGTGTAAAAATGTATCAAAGTCCGAGTGTTACTTTCCTATAGAGATGGAAAATTCGGTAACGTTTGCTATTGGATAAACTCTATATTATGAAGTAATCGGGAAGAACCCCAGTGTTTGATATTTCTCAGATAGAAGAAATTGTAGAATTATATATACTCGTAATAAAGACCTTCAAAACTCACAAAATATCAAAGATAAAGTTTTCCCGACTCTTCTACTGTACATATAACAATTTTATAAAAGTTCTAAATACTTATCTTTGTACACATTAATTTCTGCAAGACTTGCCCGGTTTTCCGAGCAACGTAGTGTTGCAAGCGACAACTTAAAAACAACTAAATTTACCTATTTTACATGAAAAACTCGTGCAGGCAGGTATCCATTTCCGTGCCATGCATCATAAGAGTTAATTACAATATTAGCGTTCACAAAACACCATGAGGGATAACTATTGTCAGCTCTTACGACACCACGTTGTTCTGGGTATCGGCAGGGGTATTACGTAAAAAACCACAAAATGTCATCTTGCAGACTAGTTTTCAGTGTGCGAAAAGTTCATTCTACCCATGCCAGAAGTGAGCATAAAGTGAACGACAGCTAGTTCCAAGTTGACATCTTGTAGAGAAACCTACGTTATGTCAGAAAAAAAACCTACAATCTGGCAAAAAAACGACTAAATGTCACTTTTCAAGTTAAGCAATACCCGTGCGGGGCTTATATTTATTACTACTCACATATATTTTGAAATTATGATTAAGTATGATATATATATACATGCTATCAATTGTGGAACACTTAGAAAGTCATACAAAAATAAATATCTACGATACAAAGCAGAAAATGATAAATACCCTGGAATGGTCTCACTTCACTGTGTTTGACACAAAATATACCAAGCAAAATAACTAAACAAAATATTCGTGTCCTCAGTTATAGTAACGTTCATCGTCATAACCATGTTCATGAAGTAGACCTTCTCTGTCTTCTTCCATTATCCTTTGAGGAAACGTTAAGCCATCACCCAAACTAACAAAAGATTTTTTAGGGTACCGATACTGGATAGGACAACTTGGAGTGACAGGAGAAATGTCAGATATTAAAGAGCTTTTTTAGCGAAGTCGAAAAACTTGAATTCTAGGGGAAAATGTTCCGACTTCATTTTTTGATGTTATGCGAAATCTGGCAACATCGTCGTGTTTGTCGGCTCCCTCACCACCGATCCCAAAAAGAAGCGAAATGCGCCTATTGGCGACGCTCAGTATCGGCCTGATAGCCATGCGCAATGGAGCCCTTCATTGCCGTCACCGCCAGGTGCGAAATTCGTGCGGTCATCCGATTTTTGCAAGCAAAATTGTTACCACCCATAGAAATTCATCGCCAGGTGAGTGAAGTATATGGAAAACATGTATGAGTTTTCAACGTGTCCTCAGATGGAGAAGCACGGACATCCACGATGAATGAAGTTTCCAATACAGCTGACGGCGGTCTTCTTGAGGCGCGAGTGAAAAAGTGAATTTCACGCCTAAAAAATGCGTAGAAAAATGACGACTATGTAGAAAAAAGCTTATTATCGCCTGATAAATCCAAATTCTGTGTGACTTTTTGAAACGACCGATTCAATTTTTTAAACAAATTTGCAACGGGTAACCACCCGACATCCAACAAACGTGATTATAGAGTCGGAAAATTTCTCCCATGAACACGAGATTTTCGCCTCGCTTAACAGGAGAGTTGTCATATATCAAAACAGATATTTTTCGATGTGAGGCTTCCACATTACCTCTGGTAATCAATTATTAATTTGACGCTTGATGTGGGATGTGTTATCTATAGATATAACAACCAGAATAGATAAGCCCCCGCATTTCTTGAGGAAACTACTGAACTAAAGAAGCCTTGCTAAAGACTATGCAGGCAACAAGGATACCTCAGCACGAACAAGGCCGTTTTCTCCTTTGAACGATATTTGACAATTCTCCCGAGACTGTCAAGGCAAATGACTCATTCTCATAATGAGGAGGTCTCAAAGCTTTCGCCATCGAAGACTTTAGCATCAAGTTGCATTTTATGGCCGACTATGATAATTTGGGGTGAAAATTCCGTTTGAAAGTAGGAGTTTATTTAATCACTCTACATAGCTACGGTTCTGAAATGAAGCATTGGATTTGACACATAAGATGCTTTTTACCTAAAAAGGAACAGAAAAGGGGATGCCAAATATAAAACACATTGGCCCAGGTAACGTATGTCTCGAAATAGTGAAAAATATATATTAAAAAGTCAGAAATTGTCAAATAGGGACTATTAAAAACTGAGCCGTGACGCACCCTCCAATATCATGAAAATGGCCAGTTTTAGTTCCAAATTGGATCCAGAAGGCTATTTGGCCAAGTCAAATGTCCAAGTACAAAATTTAATTCATATAGGACTATGGATTGGTCCTTTTCCTTTACGAAAAAAAAAAATAATTTTGTGGATTTTTTGTTCTGGCATTCAGATTGTCAGCCCCAAAAACAAATGATCTCAAAAAAGCACATTTGACTAAAATATCAGCCGCACGAATTATTAGATCATAATTTGGATGTCATTTTTGAGTTAATGGGACAATTTAACTTCGGATATTTCGGAGTGTAACGCTTTCTAGGAACAGACGTAGCGAGAAAATAGAGAAGTTGCCAAAAAGGCTAAAATTCTTTTTTTTTCTGAACCTTCCAACCTTGAGCGCGATCTTACAGTACGAGTATCATGTATCTTCAGAGAAACAAATGAGCCCAATCAGAGAAGACATGACCAGGCCTCCAGTCTCATGAAAATCGACAACCAAAATATCGAATATTGGATCCAAGGGCTTATTTAATCGACTCAAGAGCCCGGCTACATTTTTGGAATCCATAAGAAAAAATAACGTTGATGATTGAAAACAAGAGACGAAAAATTATATCCAAAGTGTAATTATGCCATCTCCTAGAAAAAGTGGCAATGTTAATGTATAACTTATTTTCAGATCAGACCTCAAATAAATCACGGTAAAAATAAAAACGATTTTGGAAAAATGTCTTTCTCCGTAAATACTTTAAATTGTGGAACTTTCTAAGCACCATTAGTTACCTAAATATGCAAATCTGCCCTCATTTGAATTCGTATTCGTTTATTCAAAAAGCGTGTAATCACAAAATATGTTTGTTCCTAAAAAGAGGGTAAAATGATATTTGAAAAGTTGAAAGTGACTAACCTCATTTTTTATAAGCTATAGGAACCTCATAATGCGACATAACAAACTGAGGAGACATACGAAAGTGGTCCTATAAGTACTTAGCCTCACCACGCGATGGCGCCACTATCACAAGAGAAATTTACTATCCCGTAGTACATTCTCGTAGACAGCTAATGTCAAAATGTCAGCTAAATCGAACTCGTAGTTTTTTTTTTGGAAGGGAAATCGGTTTAACTAGTTTCAACGTGGTCGCCCGTCGGTTTTTGATGAGCCACGCCCAGGTGCCCCGAAAACTGAGGATAACAAAAATCCACGATCTAGTATTGCCAGACCGCCGATTGAATGTGCGCGAGATTGCCGAGACAGTAGGTATCTCAAAGGACCGCGTGGGTCATATCCTGCATGAAACATTGGGCATGAGAAAGCTGTCTGCGCGATAGATGTCGCCTTTGCTCACTCTGGACAACAAGCGCAACCGTGAGACCACTTCAGAGATGTGTTTGACGCTGTTGAAGCTATGTACTTATATATACTAAAAGAAGATTGATATAACATACTATAGTGGTTTGATTTTTGCCTGTTGAGTTATAAGGGAATCAATATACAAAAAAGTTCAACTTTGCAGCCCGACATTTTGAAAAACAGTAAATGTATACTCCAGGTTTATAAGGTACTGATAAGGAGCTTCAAAATAAGGTATCATTTGACCCCCATTCCATTTTAAAAAAATATTCCAAGATGGTGTCCAGCCGCCATCTTGATATTTTCAACTGTTAATTTTACGCTAAAGTACGGTATTCACGCATCAATTTCGTCATCCAAAAATTCATTTTACTAAATTCATCCGAAAATAAAGTAGGGTGGGCTTTCTGAAAAGTACTGTACAAGCGTTAGGAAAATGTAATGTCTTGTAGTAGGTACATAAAAAAGGGTAGCGTTACAACATTTATTTTCAACGACCTTTATGTTCCGATGAACTAAAAGCATCGTGTTTCCTGGGCCAAGTACTGGCAGTCCCCTTATAGAGCAACAAAATTTCCACAAATGAAATAGCGCAACTCAGGGATGTTAATTCAAACATGGGGTAAACAACTCATAAAAACAAAACTCAAATATAAAACAATATATTACAAAATATGAGGGAAAGGTAGATAACAACATTTAAGTACACTTGGTAAACTCATACGGGGCCAGCTGTCAGTTTACTTCTCTCACACTGATCTAGAGAGCTGTTCGAAAAATGTTTCATTCACTTAGTTCATACAGCTATTTGCAATGAAGCTTTTTACATGCAAAAATCGCAATGCAAATCCAGCCAACCTTTTACCAAAAAAATATCGAAATCCATAAAAAAAAGTGATAAGAATATAAAGGCATGTGTGATGTGTTGATTTCAATGAAAAACCTTCACCTTCCTTTATCAATTTTTTGATTCTTATTATTTATACATTCTACTTACATAAATATAATAGTTACATTAAATTCACGAAAAGTGTACAAATTGTGTATAAAATAAAGTTACTATCACAATCAGATATTAAAAAAAATAAAAAAAACATTTTGAAAATCAAATGAATGCCAATTTTGTGCAAATATTTTTCCAAAAATATGATTGTGCAGTTAGTGCAATATCAAATTGAGTCTTGTAGTTTAACCTGAGTTGTAATAATCACATGCTTTCACGATTCTGATCACAAACAAGAATTCGAATCACAAAATATCATACGAAAGTCAGTTTTTGTAGAGGTATAGAACCTAAAGATTGTCATAAAGATTATATAGGGTGATGATAAAGTACAGACGTATCGCAAAAAAATAGATTAATTCGAGTAATAAAACCTAAACAAAAAAATTAATGGATTTAAATTTGTCAATCTAGAATCATCTAAGGAATCAGCCTATGAAAATTAGCCAGGAACTTTGGCAACACCCTGTATGTTTCTATCTTCATGCTTCATTTTGAAGCTCTAAACATTATAAAAAGTCCCACTATTTTCGCCTATATTTATTTTATTTGTGATAAAAATCTGTCAGCTTAAGCTTACAATAGTGAGTGAACTGGGTAGCACAATACCATTTTTGGATCTAAAAAATCATATCATTTTAGTTGCCATTAATTTTGATGAATAAGCTGTACTTTTTCAAAGTATATAAACTAAGCTCCCTATGAGAGTAAAGAACATAATTTATTTATTTTGAAATTCTAGCATCAGAAAAAAGCGATATTTTCAAAATAAAAAACCTATGTCGTTTTCTTAGTCACTTATATACATAACTTTGTCCCCGAAATCAAACCGACTTGTATTTCTTATGATTTCTGATAATCCTGTTTATAACAAAAGGCCGAAAAAATATAGGTTCAACGATTCACAGCTTCTATTCATTATTAGATTTCTATGGATTAATTTTTCCTAAGAGAGTCAATTCATATACTTTAAATAGGTACTGTGTATGGTTTAGTTTAAAAGTCTACATACGTGATATTCATGTTTATATCTATCCTTCAGGCATCCCTATTTTAAAGAAGCCTTATTCTTGTCGTTCGGAACTGATACAGTAATTTTTCAAATATCAAACAATACGGCATTTTTTACAACTCATCAATTATGATTTGACGCTTGCCGTCGTTTTCTAAAAATATAAGAATCAAAGTGCGTTCCCTAAGGAAAGCAGTCAAATAAGAGAGCCCCAGTATTAACAAATATCCAAGGCGATAACGAGTCGTCAGATTGAACAATGCCGTTTTATTCTTATCTGATAAACATTTTCAACAAATCTCCCAGATCTCACTACTGGCAAGGCAAATAAGGCGTCCTCACAATCAGGAAGCCTTTAAGGTCACATTTATAAACGTTCTGTGAGGATTGAGTGCCGCATTAAGGAATGATCTATCCTTGGATTTTAAACGAACAATAACGTTTCCTAGAGGCATGTTTGAGGGAGGATTCAATATTTGCATTTCACAGTAAGCTGTAACAGTTGTCATCACTGGCTGTCATCTGTGTCAGAAATATTTTTCTTTTTTATCCGTATGTATTTAGTATTCTGATGGTAAATTTCGGACGGTTTGGTCTTCTTATGTTACCCAGTAGTGCAAAACAATATTGTATTACTTTGCTATTTTATAGTGGATTCACAGGTGCGAACTATATAGGCAACCAGTACCGCGGTCATCTGCACTGCTTGTAGAGTACGTTTGACAGTTTGAGCGAATTATACGGCTTAATATTTATCAAATATTTTGCTCACAATCTGTAAATTAGTCGACAATTTATCATAACTTGAACTTGAAAAAATCCTGTTATACGCTAAGAAATAGCTTTACGAAAAATTACTTGATAAAGATTTCATTCATTTGCCTAGCTTTTATATAAGCGCTCTACTTACTTTTGATTAATACTGTCCAATAATTTTCTGCAAGCGCGGCTTTTTAAAATAACAGCTATCTTTCAATTTTATTTTCAACTATTCCTTTCAACTCGTGTGGTAATCATGTCTTCTTAATTTTTTTAATTCGTGTAACTCATTATGAAAAACCGTCGAATAATTACTAGTAAAATGATTTTTAAAGCATTATAGAGATGCTCGAACTTTGAAACGCACTCTACCACCAGCGGTGCAGATTATTGCAATACTGGTTGCATATATAGTTCACTCGACGAGTCCGACATCCGCTGTAAAATCGGAAAGCAAACACTTCATTTCCATCTTGTATTACTTACTAAAATTATTTGATAACTGCTACAGCCTACTGTAAAGTCCAAATTTTAAAAAAACTCCTCAAACGGCACGCAATTCTCAATGAACGTTTATAAATGTGATAAAAGTAAACCGGTATGTTTATGAAGACTACCAACCAACATTTTGGTGGCAAGTTAATGTGTTAGAGCCAAACTAAACACAATGAAAAAACAAAAAACGTATTGCGTTAGCTAATAGGCGTTAGCGCAGTGTTATTTTTTATTCTAACCTGTTCTGCATGTTGTCCATAGAATGATAAGTGCTCTGCTGGAGGCGAGATTGTACAGGGAATTCTATACCGTCACCCAAACTACAAAAATTCATAAAAATGTGTTACTTTCAGTCAAAAATCTTGAATCGTTGTTTTATCAAAAAAATTCTACTACGTCGCAGAATTTCGTTGCTACTTATTTATTTATATGTTAAAATATGGTCAGATCGTAGATCATCCGCAAAAGTGTGGATTTTGGAGTGAAGCAAACGATATAACGCGGAATTCCAAATATATAAATTATCCTTGATTAACATATTCGACGTCAAGATACAAAAACCAACTGAAGTCGTACCTGCACGGCAACAGGTATCTGTACCGTGGTGCAAGCCACTCATGCTTACAGTGAAATTCCCCTTCGCTGACACCCCTCTTACATGGACACCTACTTTAAACAGTACAGTTTCTCATGGCCCCGACCAACTCTCATATAATTTGCTTTGTATTAACTCTCTGGTGGACGAACATTCTCTTGAACAGACGCGAACACGAGAAAATGTTCTCCTAACCGGACGAAAAACAAAATAAAAAGAAGCGCCTTGTCTTATTTTTTTTTGCGAGTATCGGTGTTGCATTTCTCAATCGTGACGCTCGCCATCTTCGCTCGGACTTTCTCGAGTGAACCGCGAATTCACCGACTTTAATCTTTCGGCACACTTACTGTATTTCTGCCCGGCGTGAATTAGGGACTTCCTCAAGTTGGTCGGAGATTTACCGTTCTTATTTGGGTAAACGCTTCCGATTAAATTTTCATTCCGTAGTAGTCTGACGTCTATGCGGAAAAGACACACTGGGCGACATATTCATTGTAGAAACGGCTCCAAATTATGACATAGTGGTTGCAAGACCTGGATTGGAAAATGGCTAATTGAAAAAGAAACACTGTTATTTTTAGACAACGCGGGATCTCATCGCTTAATCAATGTAAACATCTTATTTTTGCCCCCTAATTGTACATCAGCTTGTCAACTGCTTGACCAAGGGATTATAGTTTTAAAAATTATTACCGAAGTCTAATACTCAAATACCTGCTAGTAAACATTGAAACTGCTGGCACAGCTTTTGAGTTAATAAAGAAAATTACATCACTGGATGCAGTTTATTTATCAAAAACCGCTTGGGACCAAGTAACCAAAGAAAGAGGGCAAAATTGCTTCTGCAAAGCAGGATTAAGCATGAAAATATGCAAAGTGAAGACCAGTTAAATGAGACCAATACACCTGACCACTTAATGTACTTTCAGATATACTCAAAAAAAGGAATTTATTGAAATTGACTGACAATGGTGATTTTTTGAACCTAGATGAAAGTTTGTATGTTGAAGAACTTTCCGAAAATTCTGATATCGATGATATTCCAGTACCAACAGAAGTTATTCCAAATTATGGTAAAGCTATTACCCTGACCAAGCAGCTCAAAGGTTTGGTCGAAAATCAGTGAGATACAGAGTCTTTGGAGCTTTTTTCTAATTAGAAATACTATTTCACGATGCAGTTTTAAAGAAAAAAAGGAGACAAATGACAATATATATATGAATTTTTACGTCCTTAAAGTGACTTTTTATTTCATTGTTTTGTGTTACTACGTAAATGTATGTACAAACATTATAAATATGCATGTATAATGTATATATCTAACCCTTTTTTTCTTATGTTTAAAGTTTTTTGTTTATTTTGAAAACATTTATATACATATACAGTACAGTCCCGATAATCCGAACAATATCGGACCGACCCCTGTTCGGATTACGTGATTGTTCGGATTGGCCGGAGTAACGGATTAGCTCGGTCATTGATTGTGTGCCCGTACTGTTAGCCGTCAGTCGTAAATATTGAATAAAGAACTGTTTTGAATTAAGGTTTACACTGTTTTAAATTGAAATATTCACCGATTTTCGTCCTTAAAATTATAAAATTTTCGCCGCGGAGCCGTTCGGATTAACCGGATGTTCGGATTAGCCGTGTTCGTATTAGCGGGACTGTACTGTACATTTTGAATGTCTCAGTTTATATTTAGGTTTCATTAAAAACACGATTTTTGTTGTATTTCTTTTATACGGACACCACTCTTGTACTGACACATTCAGTGGGTCCCGTTGGTGTCCGTCCAAAGCAGATGTCATTTTATACCTCTATATGCGTCGACCATCGTCTCTACGCGCCAACGTTGCAACTATTGCCCCGGGTTATCGGGTTTCCGTCGTTGAGATATTATGAACACGAAATCTTGAGAATAATTACGACGGCGTGACTTTTTCAGGGAAGCTTTATGTCACGTTTAAGAATAAACAATTTTATTTAAAACAAAAATGTAGCCTGTTTTATTACTTCCAATCCTATCTGGCAACATTCCTGTGACAATGATAATTATATGCCAACGTTCAAATAAAAGATATGATTGGGCGTATCTTTTGAGAATATATTAATAAATGATAAAAAGTAGCATCGCATTTATGTATGTCGAATCATGATCTAATATACTAGATAACGCAAATTCCGCAAATATAAAAAAATAGAAATAAGGTATTTGTGTATGAAACAAAAAATCTGTGGCTGATTTGGAAATGTAAAAAGCTGCATATACGACCGACTTTACCAAACGAACTTTGGAAGATGAATATAAAATGTTTAAATTAACCACCCTGAAGCGAACTATCACAATTTGAGTTTATTTTCAAAACTACATGGGACAATCTCATTCCACAAAGGCAATATAAACAATCACTTAGAAAATTTGAAAACTTCAAAAATTTAAAAAGGTAGGTACGGTGGTTATAGGAATATTTAGGAAAGAATATAGATAAAAAGCAGTGAAATTGTGAAACTGAAATATACTATCACCAGAATCTCCTGGATATTCCATACTTTTGACGTTTTGAAATATTACCTTATTGGATGAAATTCATCAAATGCTAAAGCCTATCTAACGGGTGATTCATTTAGAGGTACTTTTTTCATAAGCCAAAACAAAAACAATCAACTGTGTAAGGTTATCTTTCTTATCAAACTAAAGAAGCATCCATGACATTCGTTTTTTGACTGTTGACCGTTACTGCTGGTCCAGCCTGCGTAAATGGCGATATTGCACAGTGCATGCAGCCAACACCGAGCGGTACTTTTTATGTTGTAGGCGGTTATAATATTAACGAACAGACCGGCAGACAGATAGACAGACCGACGGAAATGAGTGACATGATTTTTCGTGATGTACATGTCATAATTATAACATCCAAAAAACGTAATATAGTATTGACGAACAGACCGGCAGACAGATAGACAGACCGACACACAGACCGACGGAAATGAGTGACATAGTTTTTCGTGATGTACATGTCATGAATAATAACATCCAAAAAATGTAATATCTGATTTTCGAAATTTTTGGCAATTACAATACTTCCCACGCCAGTAGGCGTGAGAAGTAAAGAGACTGAATCGATGACATCACACCTAGGTAACCAATTTATGGATCCAAAACGATAAATTAGCTGCCCGCCGAATTGTCAGGATAAAGATAATACTAAACGGAGTGCGCTGCAGGTAGCGTCATGTTGTCTTATTGAAACCAAACAAATCTGGACAATGTGGGCTTGAATTTCAGGCAGCACTAGAAATACTCCGACACATAATCGATACTTGGAATTTCAGAACGGACAGCAGTGGAAGCCGACATTTGTAAGAAATGACCATTAAAAACTAAAGGCCAAGAATGTATATTTTCCTTGATAATAAGGATAATCCTATAAAATTGATTATTTTCATATTTTTTCATTTGAACAAAATTACCTCTAAATATGTTGTGTTACCTAGAAACTATAGGATTCAAGAATCATGTATGTTCTGACACCTAGGCAGCACCAAGCTAATGTTGCACCTTAGACATTCTATGATGCTTGAATGATATAGTGTTCGCGGTAACATACTGTATACTTGCAAAGTAAGCAGGTTTTCACATAATTACCTTGTACTGATTGGGAGAAACCATGTTTTTGGATCGTCACCAAAGACCTCTTGAAAGTTTCTATACCTCCCCACATAATATCCGTATTTGTCTACACCCAAACCTCTGTAACTTGGCGGCCTAAAGGCCTCTGCACACACAAATGCATACACATCAGAAAAATATTTGGAAAATTCCACCATTATATTGCAAGCCTTTTCAAAATATTTACACTCGCGCATAACACTGCAAGCATTTTTCATCCGACCGACATGAGAGAGTTTCACGTATAACATGTCACGCAACGACAGGTTCGGATTTAGGAAATAATTCTGTCACTTAGAAGTACTGTTCGAAGTCGGAAAAATAAAAGATACAATGAGCATACTATGACAGCCCAAATATTTAAAGAAAATGTTTGTTGCAAATGTGACCGACCAACTACGTGAAGATTTTCCAATGACCACACATGAGTATTTCTGAGTAAATCTGTTATGCGAAAAGGTTGATTCATCCGCGACCAATATGACCTATATCCCTAGTTCTTTGCACAAAGTAAATGAATCTACGTGGCCCTGAACGATAACGTCTATAAAGCGATCTGCATACGCTCGTGAAGCCTCGGTATGTCGTCCGATATTGCGGTACGAAAGTGCCATTTTGGATTTTTTCTAAACGATTGATAAATAAATCTTTTGTTTACCTACGCTGCCGGCACCTGGGTTGAGTACTGACGTGCGCCGTACCATCTCACTTTTGATCGGATCTGTTACAAAACCCCACTGTAGAGAACAGGCAAGCCGACGTCGAACCCAGAAACAAATATATCGAAGCGGTCCGCAATGCCAAAGACCAGCACGATATAATAGCAGTCGGTCTTTCTGGACGCTGGCCAAGCAGATTGAAAGGAACTTCTCACATAGTAGCCTTCCACCACATATGTGTTAGGATGGAACGATTGTAACCGACTCAAAGGCTAAGGCGGAAGTGCTTGCCAAGGTCTTTGCTGCCAACTCCACCATGGACGTGCCAAAGGGTTTCCTATACTATGACGGAAGAAAAATTCAAGCACAAGACGGTAAGAAGCTTCTGGTTCGGACTTAATTCGTGCCGTTGTATTGAAGAGGTGTGCAGCGGAGCTTGCTCAACTTCTTTCGCGTCTCTTCCAGATATCTTACGAATCTAGCAACTTCCCAGAAAACTGGAAATTTGCTCGAGTCCAACCCATCCCAAAAAAGTGATCTTTGACCGACCCTTACAACTACAGGCTTTCTGTTATAAGTAAGCTGATGGAGAGATTAGCGACAGGCAGTATGGTTTCATGCACCTGCAATTCACAGGGGACTTCCTAGCTTACGTCACGTAACTGTGGAGTAAACTCATCCAGTCTTATGGTGAGGCTCATGCCGTTGCTCTTGATATCACGAAAGCATTCGATCAGCTCTGGCACGCTGTCCTCTTATGCGAAATTCCATCCTAGGCATCCCACAGAAGCTTTGCAGATGGGTGGCCGACTTTCTCTCTGGCCGCAAGATTTCCGTCGTAATTGACGGGTTCTCCTCTGCATCCCACAACGTCAACGCGGGTGTTCCCCAGGTCTTGCCTCCGACACTGTTCCTCTTACATATCAACAACTTCATTTCCTGTACGATCAACCCAATCCACAGCTTTGCTGATGACAGCACACTACATAAAGGAACTCAGAACGACAAGCCGATCTCTGCCGGAGAGCTGGAAAAAAAGAAGACTAGCAGCAACTTCCTCTCTGATGCGAGACCTGAAGGTTACCACTGCTTGGAGACGCAACAATCTTGTACAGTTTCATGGTTCCAAAACAGTATTATAGCTTGACGAACAAAAAGCGTGCTAGCGGTCATCTCGTTTCGATGGATGGCCGAGTTCTGCCAAAGAGACCAAATACCTCTTCGGCTGGTCGGAGTCCAGATCACCGAGGACTTGATCTGGCACGAACACATCGAATAAATAGCGGCAGCTGCTGGGTAAAAGCTACGCTATTTGTTTAGGGCTAAAAAGTATTTTTCTCCGCATGACCTCCTCTCTATGCAAGGCACAGATAAGACCTAGCCTCGAGTATTGCTGACACGTTTGGGGTGCTGCCGCTCCGACTACATTCTTTATACTCGATGCCGTCCAGAGGAGGGCTGTCCGACTGATCGATGACTAACATAAAGTCTCGGTGCCCTTTCACTCCGGCGGACCTATTCTACTGCTAGACCATTGGGCTTTGCTCCTCATAGTAGCCGCGGTATCATAACATTTAGGCTTCTAAATGCACGGCTGCTTCGGTGTCAAATAAATTATTCGAAGGAACGCCTTACTTCGAAAGATATATACCGAACATACCGATTTCCAGCTACAAAATAGCCAACTTGACGCTACGTTCTTAGGGAGCGTGGCATGCCATCAGCCTGATCCTAGCTTTCGTGAAATTACCTCCGTCTGCACGAAGTCTCGTGAATTTGCCCTGGACTTCATCTGAAATCCACGATCGCACACCCTCACATTTGATTTTCAGGCGCGGCACAGCTGTCGACAGCGAGGCACATCGTAATATGCCCTTGAAATGTGCGGTGAAACGCGTTCCAGGATCAAATAAAACTTAACTTCAGACGTTTGTAGCATTTTAAAATCTTCAAGGTGTCCATTTCTTAGTTCAATGACTGCCAAATTGGGTCCCACCAAATTTATTCAAGCAAGTATCATTACCCAACGAAGCTTTTTCTTTTATTTTTTATCTGTCTACGTATCCGTCATACTTTCCACTAACACAGTACTAGAAACTGAACTCAAAAGAACACAACTATCCTGGCCGCCTTCATAGAATAAAAAGAATCGTGATCATAGGAACTGTCCACGACTGGTTCACTTTTCACTCCCCGCTCAATAAAAGACTCGCAAAAGAGAGATCGAAAGCTACGCTATCGTCTTTTTACCCCGTAAGAACCTAGCTTAATGCTCGCTCTTCTCTACTGCCTTTTTCAAGTGTATTCATTATGGTAGAATGATATCTGATTATCTAGTATTTCAAAATTCCCCATATCGACGAAGGACACATGATTCTGACGGATCCGTCAACGCGAGGTAGACAGAGCCATATTTTGTTTTGGTTTTTTGTATGGTAGATTCATTTTGTACTTGCTAAGAACTTTCTTATTTAGAAAAGTTAATTTGCATAAAAAATGCTACAAGAAAGTTTTACTAAATTTACACCTGATTCATTATTACCAACATTGCAGACTAATACAAAAATGTCACTTGCTGATCAGCTGTTCACCTCTGTAGACGTCAAAGCCTGATGAATACTCGTGAAATAGGGTTTAGTGAGAAGGCTTGCAATATAATAAATCGCATTTTTCGGAAAATTAAATCACATTTTAAAACACACTTACCTAATGTTGTCTTATTTTCACAGACTAAGTAACAATGATAGCCAAATAGGGACAGCAAACTTACACCAAACATTATTGCAACAAAAAACAAAAACAATATGTGGAACCTCCCCATGCCTTGAAGGTCACCCTAGAAGTAAATTGAGTGTGCAGATTTCAAATCTGAAGAGAATTTGACACTAGGGCCCACAGGGGGTCCTAGGCGACTCATTTTCTATATTAAATTCGGTCCCATGACACTTTACAAATATTTAACAGTGATATTCGCATTCAGGGTCTAGAATCATATCTAAGTTGACCATGTTTTATTCGGCAGTAACAGCTGGAGACGATAAACGAAATTTTGTCATACCTCCTATATTTTGAGGTTTCCTATATTTTCAAAATCTGCTGCATATGTCATTATGGAATCAAACTCGTTTTATAAGCGTATGGATTCCAAATCTAACACCAAATTGACAAAGGGACTAACAGAGGGTCCCAAAAATGACATTTTCTACTTCAAATGATTTCATAACAAATTGTACATGTTTATTTGATTTCAAATTATGAGGATTTAAAATTAACATTATTTATAAAAACACTTACCCTCCAGAAAGAGATGAAGTATGGTAGAGATGTCAGTGAAATATAAAGACAATATGCTAATGCATATCCAAGAAATAGCACAAAGAACTTATAATTTGTGAATGATACACAATTATTGATCCATGGACAATGATGGTCCATCTTTAAAACACAGACTCCACATACAGAGCAGTGATGAGCTCGATCTGGTTTTATAATCCTGCATTTCTCACAAAATCTGACACCCCCACTGACTGTTACATTTCTAATAGGCAACCGCCTTGCTAAATTTTCCAAAATTGCATTTTGAGTTTCATATGTATCATTGTGCTCTAAATAGGCTTCATAATCAGCATCGGGAATTTTATACTGGAAATTTGGAAAAACAATAATGAATTAATTATCAGAATTAATTGTATATACAGGCTGATAAAAAACATTCTGGAGCAGAATATTCATGTTTTATCCCCAAGTCAGACCCTCATGGGAAATTTTAGGACTTATATTACCAAAAACTTTTTGCTCTATAAATATTGTTTCTTTTTGTATATGGCATTCTTGAAACTGTTTCACATGCATTTTTGTTAAGCACATATAAACATTATTTCAAAAGTATTTATAGACTTTGTAAAGGTTAATTCAAGAGAAATACTTGAAACTACTTTGTTTTTGACAGAAACAATCACACATTTGTCAAAAAATGAACCCACTGCCTTTTAGGCCTGTATCGTCAGTCGTCCCTACAATTGTAGGGCGGGTTTATGGCCTCCTTGATTGTCATAGTTTTCTACTTCTCCGTGTCAGCCCTTTATTTTGAGTTTATGTCACAAACATCTATTTGCATCAAATTGTGCTTACTTTTGAGTTATATCATGTTTTATTAGCCTGAAATTTCCTACAATTTAAAAAGAAAACATATCTTCACAATAGGAGAGCACTCACGCTAACACGGGTCAGGTGCAATCTAGACATTTTTTAAGGAGAGAAAGAAGTATGACAATCAAGGAGGCCATAAACCTACAATTGTAGGGACAACTGACGATATGGGCCTTAACTACAGGTATGTATCTTTTAGGGATTCATAGAGCATAGAACTATTTTTGAAAAAAATATAGATATTCCTGCTGATAACAATGCCATATACTAAGGTTCCAAATAATACAATCAGTTCTAAATTGGGAGCTGTAGTACTTACTTTGCTTGGTACCCTGCCTATATCAGTGAATATGGTTTGCCAATATGACCAGCAGAACATGAAGAAGAACATATGATAAAAGATAAGATATATAACTGTTCTAGCAACTTCTTGGATTGTAACTAGAAAAATCAAATATATTAGCAATATAAGTAGGTAGATGTAGCATAATGTATTACTTAAGCACAGTTGGATAACATAAGCATAATAAGACCATGCCACTATAGTCGCAATAAATAAAACTGGTATCCATTTCACAGTCTTGAAACACCAAAAGCATGGTCCTTTATTATCACTACCAGGTACAGCCATATCAGTATAGTTTTATCTACATCAGTCTATTTTATTTATTTCAGAATCAGAGATCTGGAAATATTGAAAACAAAGGGGCGGGGTTTAATCCTAACCTAAAATCAGAAAAAGTTAATGAAAGCTGAATATGTTATTTACGTACCCGTTTTACAAATTTATTAATAAACCAATTACATATTTAAAGTTAGATTAGAGGATCTGTTCAGAATCCATAGTCCGCAAGTCTGCATACGAATTATAGAGGGACCTGAGAGGAACGAATTTGACACAATTTCCTCCACAAAAGTCATGTGTGAGTGAGTGACGTTTACCTATCACCACAAAACCTATACGCTGACCAGCGCTGCGCTGACCTATCACTGAAATATTCCTACTTGACTCGTATGACTAGTGGTTAACAGATTTATGTCTGACTGACCAATCAACAAAGGGATGGCTAGTCTCCAATGGCTAAGACACGCCCTTTTCATTCACAACTGTCAAGATGACATAGAACAGAAAATGACAACTGAAAATATTTTGTACCTTTATTGTTTTATGACTCCATGTAAACGCAAAATGGTGGTTGTTGATCGCCGATTGACTTTTTAAAAATATGTATTCAAAATACATGTAAAGTTTACGCGAATTGTAGATTCAATTGCGAGTACTATGAGCAAATACTGAATGAAACATTTGGTGAGGATTCTACTTTAATGTGTAGCGCCCTTCAAATCAGTGTTTTTCGGAGTGGTTATTAGGTCATCGAATTGTATTTAATGTATAAATTAAGAATTTGGAGATTTTCTGGGTTGCAATTTCGCTTTCCATACGTAAAACAATTTGGACAGCATCTATTCGCATGTGGAAAATTCCTCTGCTCTACAAATGTTACAATAAAACGCATCATTTCCTCCAATTATTGAATAATTAGACGCATAAGTGGACAAAATAACCACATTTATAACTATGAACACTTTTCCTCCAGCATAATGTATTATTTCATTACACAACATACACGAAAAATCTCACTGTTACATATTATGTCTACTGAATTCTGTATTCAAGACATGTAAACAACCAGTCTCAGTGACAGCAGTATGAAAATTGTCATATTTTTGTTTCAGCTAAATATGTTGTGATAGGCTTAAGAGGTTGTATGAAGTTATGACCAGCCAAAATTCATCATTCACTCAGGTAAGTTACAATCCTATAATAAAATAGATGTATAGCTGGCTACAAAAAACACCATATCTACCAAATATCTTTCAATTTAGTATTCATGTTGTTGGAACATGTCAGTATTCTCCTAAGTTGCTCAATAGTCAAATAATATGTTCATTATTTTCCCCAGCTTTATCAGAGGTAAAAGTAAGTTTTGAGGAAAAATCAAGCTTATGGTTGTCAGTTTTGGGTTTCTCATCTCTATTAAGTGTTTATGAAAACAATGGATACAATCTATAATTGACGAGTATTATTATAAAACTGAAATCAAGTCTTCATACTTTCCATGTTTGAGTATTGAGTTAGTTCTAAAGACATTTTTCATTCTCAAAAATATCCTAAATACTCTTCAGGATTTTATATTGAGAGGTTTGAATTTTAATTTAGAAACTTGATAACCTCAAAAATAATGCTGTTTAACTACATCTTTAAGCATTGAAAATGACTTTTAGGGTTTTACAGACTTGAAATCATAACTCAAAAGTTGTCAACTGTAGAGAAAAGTTCCTAAGCACTTTTTGTCAAAAAACATTTTGCAAAAAACTTGTTCAAATAAACTTGCCCTGGGTTACTGCCAATCATCCTCCTGATTCATGTTAAGGGGAATCTAACAAACTTGATGTAAGGTTTTCACAAATGGTAGTTGCCATCATTTGGTTATTGCTTGTTCCAGAGGTACCAACCTTACATCTTTGACCAGATTAGGCACCCTGATGGACAGTGGGACTCCTCTACTGCCCCAAATCCTCCCACTGTCCCCGCAAGAGGTGTCAAAAGAATCACACCAAATGAAGTTAACCGTCCATATGATGAATCTTCTTGGGTGAGTCACTGCACAAAAATCTTACCCTACAGTCATACTTTCCAGTATACATACACCAAGATTTGCAGTCACATACTCACAGAGATCAGGAGATCTACCAACCTTTTCAAAGCCCATCTGAAGAGATATCTTTTTGACAAGTGCCCTTACAGTCCCACTGACTATTTTTGATCCTTGTACACTAATATATTGTATGTGATTATATACTAATGGTTTATTATTATTTACCCCTACTGAGCGGGGCCATGGCAAATGCTTGTTCTGGTAGTTGTATCCAGTATAGAACTTCTTCCCATTCAAGTGATTGTACACGCGTTAAGGAATACCTCAGTATTGATTGCCAGGTGGCGGTACAAGTCTGCCAAAGGGCCACTTTAGGTCTATTTAAGTAAAAATAAGGTAGTAGACAAGGACCAGTCGACCGAGGCGGTACCACCCGCTAGCTTTTCCCAGGGTGTCTTATAAATGTCCGTATGTTTCCACACCTAAACTATGCAGTCGGTTATCTTCCAGAACAAAGAAATTAATGATGGATCCCTCGAGCACTAAGAACTTGGGACGTAAACTCACTCCACTCTCGGAATGTCCGGGTGGAGGGTGGGCTCGAGGGAACAACATCGAAGATAAAATTTGTTTTTCGAACATCTGCGGGATTAACAGCAACATTGATGCCGTTCATCACTACCTGCAATCCTATCGTCCCGCCGTGCTTTTCTTGGCGGAGACAAAAATGTCAGAGTCTGCACCGATTAACCATCTTAACTTCCAAAACTACGAGGTGCACTCCAATCTGAGAAAGAACGGGGGAGTTGTGGCTTTTGTCCGCAGCAGTCTTTCCTGCTAAAGAGATGTTTCTTTGGAATCAGACCGGAAGGACATTCTGTGGCTTCGCCACAACTCCAAAACACCCAAATTTATCTGCTGCCTTTATCGCTCTCCCTCGGACCATAACTGGGATGACCTACTCGAATACCCCGCCGTCCAGATTGACCTCCTGAACATCAATCACCCTGCTTCAGAGGTAGTTCTTCTCGGTGATATCAATCCCCATAATGAGCTTTGGTTGGGCTCAAACAAGACTGATGCATCAGGTCGTTCAGTCGAAGAGTTCGCTCTTTCTCAAGAGCTGACGCAGCTGGTGACGAGCCCTACTTTCTTTCCCCGCTTCTCGTCACACGCCAGTAGCCTGCTGGATCTTTCTGACCACGAATCCTGTCCCTTACAGCACTGCTGTCCTGTCCCCCCTGGGTAACGCAGACCACGGTGTTGTGGAGGTTAGGTTTCGGTCAGAACCCGCTGTGGCAGCAGAAACTCGTACAGGCCGCAAAACTTAGCATTTTGGACATGCCGACTGGGAGGGGCTCAGAGACTCTAGCTTTCCTTGGAGAGATGTCTGTTTCACTGACGCGGATGCGTCAGCTGTTTGTTCTTCGATAACCGAAATGATCCATGTCGGAATGGAGGAATACATCCCTCACACAGTGAAAGTATCTAAACCAGGGTCCAACGGCTGGTTTAACAAATCGGGTAACACTGCTCACTGTTATAAGTATGGTGATGGAGAGGTACATAAATCTCGAGCTTCTGGACTACCTCGAACGTCACAGCTTGATTAGCGACAGGCAGTATGGCTTCCGGCACCAACGATCCACAGCGGACCTCCTAGCTTACGTCACGCAATTGTGGAGTAAACTCATCCAGTCTTATGGTGAGGCTCATGCCGTTGCTCTCGATATCACGAAAGCGTTCGATCAGCTGTGGCACGCTGCCCTCTTAAGCAAACGTCCATCCTATGGCCTCCCAGAAACGCTTTGCAGATGGGTGGCTGACTTTATCTCTGGCCGCAAGATAACCGTCGTAATTGACGGGTTCTCCTCTTCATCCCACAACGTCAAAGCGGGTGTTCCCCAGGGATCGGTCTTGGCTCCGACACTGTTTCTCTTACATATCAACGGCCTCCTTTCCTGCACGATCAACCCAATCCACAGCTTCGCTGATGACAGCACTCTACATGCAGGAATTCAGAGTGACAAGCCGATCTCTCCGCTGAGCTGAAAAATGACGACTAGCGACGACTTCCTTTCTGACAAGAGACCTGAAACACAGTACTGTACTTTGACGAACAAAAGCATCCTAGCGCTCATCCGGTTTCGATGAATGGCCGAGTTCTGTCAAAAAGCCATTCATTTCGGCTGGTCGGAGTCCAGATCACCGAGGACCTGATCTTGCACGAACACATCAGGTCAATAGCTGCAGCTGCTGGGAAAAAGCTAGGCTATTTGTTTAGGGCTACGAAGTACTTTTCTCCGCATGACCTTCTCACTCTATACAAGGCCCGGATAAGGCCTAGCCTCGAGCATTGATCACACGTTTGGGGTGCTGCCGCCCCGACTACATTATCCATGCTCGATGCTGTCCAGAGGAGGGCGGTCTGACTGATCGATGACTCTTCTCTGGACTCTTTCGCACCGGCGGGCCGTCGGCGATCTAGCTCTTTTCTACCGCTACACCAACGGGCTTTGCTCCTTAGAGCTCTCTTCCATGATGCCGCCGCGCGATGTGCCTGTCAGACAGACCCGCCTGACTTTGGCGTCCCATTCTAATCGTGTCGAACTTCGTACATCCAGAACTGGCCGATACGACCGCTCCTTTGTCCCGAGGGTGTCGAGATTGTGGAACAATCTACAAGAGGAAGCTTTTCCCAGTTCTACTAACCTTAGGCAGTACAAAAATCGTATTAACAAAATTTCTTTGGGATCATCATAGCAGCCGGGGTGTTCCGGCAATTAGGCTTCTACCTGCGCGGCTGCTTCGATATAAAAAAAAAATATGGAAGGTTGTTTCAAAAATAAGATTCCCACATTATTTCAGACACAAGGGATTTTTTTGAAAAAACAAATTCACCAATGGAATCGTTGATCTTTAAGCTATTTTTCTACATAGTCGTATGTTTTTTAGATGTGGAATCCACTTTTTCACTCCCGCCTCAAGGAAGTCGGCCTCCAGCCCTCGACCGTCTCGGACCGTTGACCACCTAGGTGCTCCTTCAATTTCGGAAATGCTATGTCAGAGCAGGGGGAGGGGCAACGACTTCTAAGCCAAATCGCTCGATTGAGTCCTTCGTTGTCCATCGTGGATGTCCATGCGGTCGTCAAAGACCCATTTGAGGAAATGTGAATGCTTATACACGTTTCGTCATATACTTCACCCAAGTGGCGATGTATTTCTATGGGTGGTAAGGTTTTTGCGTGCAAAAATCGGATGACCGCACGAATGCCGCACCTTTTGATGAAGGGCTTCATTACCCATGGCTGTCAGGCGGGTACTGTGTGTCACTAATAAGCACTTCTTGTTGGGATCGGTGGTGGGGGAGCCGACAAACACGACGGTGTTACCAGATTTCGCCTAGCATCACGCGCGGAAAAGTTACAGCATTGGGAACCTTATTTTTGAAACAACCCTCTAGTTACAACGACAAAAAACACGGTTAGTCTTTGATCTAAGTCAACATAAAAGCTTATGTTTTTACCTTTCTTTAGAAATATTGTTTTCGTGTATTGTTCTGATTGTTACACTGAAATTTAGCGCACCGATAGAATATGTATAGGCAACTTTTGTAACAAAAACATTTTCACGATAATGCTCAATAGTTGGTATACAAGCTAGTGTAGGTACAAGATTATGGCAGACCTCAGAGCCTTTAGTTCGCCCCTTTCACAAAACCCATTCTTAGTATAAATCAAATCTAAATGATCCTATTATTGTCAATTTTTGAGTACCTAGCAGAAAACTCGAAATTTTACACAAACTAGCAATTGTCCTTTATTCATCTTTATCACAAAATCCGTTCTCATCAGACATCGATTGCCTATAAACTAACTCTTTATGAAATTCTAAGTATTTAGTGGAAAAATGAAGGACTTTCATACAAACTTGTAAATGCTCTTCCTTAATCCGGCTCTGTCGCAGAATCAGCAGAAATACTGTATGGCTTAGCGTTATATTTTTTTCCAAAAATGCTCGTCACGGGTTGCATCCTGTTGACGATGGAAGGATTCCATGTTGACAGAATCCCTTCATAAATTGAATCGTACAATGTATTGTTTGTAATACCAGTGCTGTAGATTATTCAATAATGTTCCTATTATGAAATCCGACGGAAATGCTCAGATTGATAAAATCGCTTGGATACGATTTTGGTTTCCCTAGTAGCATAGAATCTGGCCAGGACCCTAAGATATTCCAAAATATAAGCAAAGCGAAACATTTCGAAAATGAGATTATGTATTTTGGATGTTATTTGACATGTAGGGTGAATGTGCCAGTAACCCGGACAAATGTTATATTATTGGTAGAAACTTGAATATGTATTTGAAATCCTATACTTGCTGGTAATTGGTACAACATTTATCAACTAATTTGTGACGGTTTACAAAAATTACACATCCACAGATGTCATATTGACAACAGTATTAGCACCTTGAAAACATCATGGCATAGTCGCTATCACTCCATCTTTTTCTCTTTAAACATAGAAACTATCAAACGTTTCTCTTGGAATTAAACAAACCAAAATACGACTGGAGCCCCAGCCAGTGGCGGACAGCGAAAGATAACAAATAATGTGGATTATGGCCAGTGATATTGTGTCCGACTACTGGAATGAACGAATCTTCATAGCATCCCAATAACCGGCTACTTCCATTTTCCCGCCATTATTTCACTAAAATTTCAGATTTCCACTTCATTCGGGAATGGATACCAAGAAAAAAATAAACTCTGTATATATAGAGAAGGCAGGCTAAAGGAGACTATCCAAACTATGAGAAATGTTGGGAAATTGCTTGAAATATGTAAATAGAATGGTAGCCCAAAGTCGTCAGTGCATGACCGGATTAAAGGAAAAAATTAGTTTCTTGTTCATTTTTGCATAGTTTGTATATATTTTCGATAAAAATATATTAAATGGAGTCGGTTTAATTTTTTTTCGTAAAAGTTTTAATGACAGCTAATTTGAAATTTCTATTCTACTATCACATTTTTTTTCAAATACGGTTCTGTCTAATACTGGCCAATCAAATGATGTCCGACAATTTGAAACATGCCGGTTGGTTGACTAGTAGCACCTTCTGTCCGACTACTGGCAAAATAGCACCTTTTTGGTCAATATTTTTCATATAAAATTACAGGAATAAGTATAAGCAATGTATTTGTTGTCGGCTAAATGATAACTACATATGTATATGATCACCTTCAAAAGCATTAGTTGTGTTATCTTGAACACAAAATTCGTAATTACACTTTGTAGTCCATTTTTGTCTAAACTGTCCGACCAATGCCACATTCACCCTACATGCCTTAAAAAGTACTGAGCTGTTTTCATTGTCGACGAGTATACTCTTCACATCAATATAGTACGCAACTTATGGAATGAGTCATTCTATTGTATCGTATTCGTATACGCAATTATATAAATGTGTAACCGTTTAATAGTGAGCAAATGTTTAAAAAATCGTCAACTAATGTATAGGTACACAAATCTGCGTTGATAAAATTCGTATCTAAAAACTTCGATTATTTATTACATTTAAAGTTGCTGATGATTCAATACATCGGATTGTTCTGTTTTTGTTCACTTTTCACATATGCATGAACATTATCTATCACCGAATTTCATTAGAATTTAAGGGGTCAATAAAAATTAGAAAGTGTGTAGCAGTGTGTTTCTAGACTAGTTATGAATGGACAAACTTTTCTGCAGAATAGTGGATTTCTTGTTGCACGTGACAAACTATAGTGTAGTAATATTCAAATCAGTGTTCTCGTAATATGACTGAAAAAAATGAGGTAAACAAATAATTAAGCATAGTGACATTGAAAAATGAATTTATAATCATTATTCACATAGTATCGCATGTTTAATGTTTATGTATGTGTGTGAATCGCTTCGATGAGAGATCGGCTTTCTTTTGGCTTTTTTTGGAAAGTGAATTCATTTCAGAGCCGTTGAACGCGATCGTAAGTAATCTTTGATCCGCTACTATGTATATGAAAACGCAGCACTTGCTTATTAAATACATATATGCAATTTTACAATATCAACGAGCTTAACCTGAGGAACAATCATTATTTACGCGATCCAAAGCATGTGGGGCGATGTATCCGGCTATTTATTCGACGAAATGTTTTATAGATCAGGTTCAAATTATTCATTATCGTACGTATTTTGGGTCGCTGAAACCGAAGCCGAAGCTATGCTGATAATTGTGTCTTACCCATTTATGATGTACGTCTTATTATTTAGCACCTCAAAATCCATTTTCGTTCTCGGAGGCTATGCGAATGAAGCTTGGTATCGGTGGTGGCGCTAGACCATATATGGACGTTAGCGACATTAGCTTTGCGAGGCGCCTTCTATTTACCGGTCAAAAAAACGTTAAATTGAATGAGCTGAGTTATACACTAATATATTAGTATACAGGGAAAACCAAATTTGTCTGCCGCGTTGCCAACATGTTACACCAGAAAATTTTAGCATAGACTTCTACAATAGGTTAGGTTACTGTTAAACCTAAGAAGGGGGTCTTCGTATAGTATATTTAATTTTTGTTTTTATTTTGATTATAATTATGAATTTTCCATTTTGATGCGACTTAGTGTTTTGAATTATTTTAGATTTGAAGACACAAGTGGATAAAGGTATCATGTAACAAATTGGGACTTTTTACTTTATTGACATTTAAAACATTTAGTTTCAATAGTTTGTTATTATCTTGCTTTTGCAACAAAATAATCACAGAGTGAAATAATCACTCCTTAAGTTTAATGCAAAAAATCAATGTTAAAAAAATTGTACAAACTTTGTTTTACAACTTTATCTACTTGTGTCTTCAATTATCTTTGATTTCCACCGATGGTGATAACATAAACGCATCCTAAGCTAATGTTACATTTTGCGACAGCGCTGCGGTCGAAAAATGTAACAAATAACGTTACGCAATACAAATTATCACTGTTTGCGTGTATGCAGATGAAAGCCAATTTCGAAGCAGGACGACACTCCCCTAGAAGCGCTAGATCGGTACTGACCAAAATCGCTCATCTATGATCATGGAGGTAAAAACCTTGCCTTGAAATGTATGAGATGCGGTGTTGCCAAGCGAACCAATGATGCAATGCTGCAGAATTTGTGGCGATGGTAACCTTTCATTTCGCCCTAAAATGGAGCGATGTTAGGACCGATCCGGAATTGATTCTAAACAGATTCGACACAGTTCACAATTCAAAAATGTGTACGCTCAAAATAAAACATTATTTATACGTAGCGAATACACTAACTCATATTTTCAGCGATCGTCTTAATTCAAGGAATTGGTGTAACATATTGGCAACGCGGCAGCTTGCCGCGTTAGCATTGCTAGGCAACGCATTAGCTTGGCATAGTAGTACTATTGTGTAAAAATTTCATCAATATTCGAGCGATACTTTTTAAGTTATAGGTGGTTATAAGATTAGCGGACAGACCGATAGACAGACAGATCGACGGAAGTGTGTGACATAGTTTTTCGTTATGTACGTCAGATAATAGCCACAAAAACAGAACATCTCATTTTCGCAATTACAATACTTCCTCGCTCAATGGGATAAGAAGTAAAATGTACTTATCATACGTTTTATAACTAAATTTTTTGACGATATTTAGAAAACCGGATATTACCGGATTAAAAGGATGCACATATTTTTTTTCTACAACCACAGCAATTGGGTTTTTGATGTTTTTTAGGAAATCTTTGTTATTTGCAGGTGGTACCACAGGAAGTACCTCAACCAACGGACAATAATGTTCTACACGAGTGCAATTTACTTTTAAGGCAAAATAATATGAACATAACTCCGGCAGATGGAGCCAACTATAGGAATCAAATTGTCGGAAATAGTGAACATGACGTGAACGTCAATAGGGTACAAAATCGTATAAGATCAAATACAAACACCAAATATGTTTATTGCCCGTAAGTACCAGTTTCGTATTAGTACTACACGGGTATATGTGGTCAAGAAAATTGGAGGACATGAAGTACGTTAAAATATGAAAGAAAGTTCTTATTAATTTATATTCGGAAATGCTTCGTTTTCATACTCGTAATACGGTGATATGCCTGCCATTACATTTTTCGAAAATAGATTTAGATATTGAGATGGGTGTTGGTACATGCAAATGTATTATCACTGTTTAACAAACAATAAAAACTGCCAAGAGGCACTTTTCAAGCGAAATCCCTAAGACTTTGAGAAAACGACACTTATTTTTCCACAACTTTTCGTCCAACGTACCCTTTGCTTCCAGATGTATTCTTTTATTTCGAAATATTTTTTATTAAATTAGTACTAGTGAATATGGAAAGGTCGAAAAGTTAAACCATAGTGAATCAGTGTTATCGTGGTAACCCCATAAGACCAGTAGGTTGCAAGGGTTAAATAGAGAATTTTCTCATCCTTGTTTAGATGAACCTTTTTCATATTTTTACGTGCTAAATGTGCCCTTAAATTTTCCCGATAACATCCAGTCTATCCAGGGAAAGTTTTCTCCAAAAGTTTGGTGTGGCTGGTGATCCAGCCCTGAGTAACCTTTGAGGAGGACGTACATGGGACTCAACGGGTGATTATTGAGTGATTACCCTCTGAAATACTGAATGCATCCTTCATAGCGATCATGGCATCCAGAACCTCGCATCCTGGTAGATTTTCCAACTAGATTTATTATATTGCGTCCATATTGTGTTTAAGTAGTAGAGCAGCCGTGACGCTGAAGGTCGCATCCTGTATATAACAACGAGACTCCCCCAAAATGGCATTGAATTTCTGGCCGACTTTCTACGACGGTGACTGTTCGACACATGTTTCGAAAAGTTGTCACACGTAATCGTATCGCGTGGCTGATGCTGTGTAGTCGTAGAGAAAGTCCGCTGATGGGTTGCTCTGCGTAATAAAACGGATTTCTAGTATTAAGTTTTTGGTTTACAGGTGGTTTCACGGGAAAATATCTCGAGAGGAAGCGGAAAACCTCTTGAGACCCAGAACTGATGGTTTGTTTCTCGTCAGAGAATCAACCAACTTCCCAGGTGATTACACGTTATGTGTATGCTTCCAATCAAAAGTAGAACACTATAGGGTGAAATCAAATAATGGAAAACTCACGACGGATGACGAAGAATTTTTTGACAATCTCGAAGAACTAATAGAACATTATAAGAACGACGCAGACGGGTTGTGTACAAAATTAGTCAAACCACTTCCTAAAGAAAAAAGTGACACCGAAGCCGTTTATACCAATGTTAGCAAGTCTACTCCCAAAGAAAGTGACGATCTTTTCGTCATACCTGAGCAAGAATTAGCAGTAAGTACTTTCAAATAGGTCGACAATTCGACTGATTTTGGTGTTGAATTGTCATATGACAAAATTATTTTCCAATATACACGATATTACATATCTTGTCAAACTTCAAGGTGTTATTCCATGGAAGATTCTAATAAGTTCATGTAAATAATGCCTCGTTTTCGACGTATAACACCTCATACTTTTTTGAAAATTCGTTTTTCGCAAATATTGTAATTTTTTTAACAGGTTGTTAAAATTTTTTTTATCAAATCTTATAAAAACCAAAAGTTGTATTGGCCATCTAAATCGGCGGATTTAATATACTTTTTGGAGAACTTGAGTTACATTAAGGTTTTATATTTATTCTATTTTATCTAGTTTTTTGGCAATGCTAAAGAATCAGGGTCTATACGCAGGGTGAAAGTAACTGAAATTTCAAGTTTGTCGTATATATGAAAATTGTGCTTTCAGATATTTAAGAATACATTCATTTTAAACTTCTTAAAGTTTTTTTTTTATTTTAATGATTATTCTTTAGAAGCCCAAAGTTCGCAATTTTGGCATTTTTTATCTAAAATTAACCTATTTTCGGATATTTATCTTAGTATATTGTATAAGTGCATGTTCAAAACTGTTTCTACTTCAAATCTATAATTAAACACACTAAGACAAAACACTTATAAAAATTGAATTGTTGTTTCACTGTGCGCACATTAAAAACAAAACAACTTTCGTTTTTAATATGAGCGTAGGTGAGCAACACTGATTTGTATATACGAGGACGGTCCGATGAGTACTTAGCCTCACCGCCAGATGGCGCCACTACCACAAGAGAAATTTATTATTGCGTTTCCTATATGGCTACTGTCAAAATTTCAGCCGAATCGGACTCGAAGTTTTGTTTTGACCGCATGTGGAAGCGGGCGTGTCCGCGGAGTTTAGAAAAATGCGCTTGGATGCCGTGTACTTTCTTATTTTTCGATGGCGAGCGTCAAAAATTGGTTTAACGAGTTTCAACGTGGTCGTACGTCGGCTTTTGATGAGACATGCCCAGGTGCCCCGAAAATGGCTACCAAGGAGGATAACGTGACAAAAATTCACGATCTCGTATTGTCAGACCGCCGATTGAAGGTACGCGAGATAGCTGAGACAATAGGCATAGTAGGTCATATCCTGCTTATAATACTGGGCATGAGAAAGCTGTCTGCGCAATGGGTGCCGCGTTTGCTCACTCCGGATAAAAAGCGCAACCGTGAGACCACGACGAAGGCTGTCCTACTGGCCGGAAAGGTGCTGACCACCGTTTTCTGTGATTCACAAGGTGTGGTCTACATCGACTTCCTGGAAAAGGGCAAAATGGTCACAGGGCTCTACTATGCCGAATTATTGGGCCGATTCAACGTCGACCTGCAGAAAAAACCGCCCTATTTGGCGAAAAAAGTGCTCTTCCTCCATGAAAACGCACCGGCTCACACCTCCGCCGTCGCCGCGGTCAAATTGGTCGGATGAGACTACGAACTGCTGCCCCATACATTGTATTCTTCAGATTTGTCCCCGTGAGACTCTCTCGTGTTGCCAGACCGCCGATTGACTGTGCGCGAGATCGCCGAGACAGTAGGTATCTCAAACAACCGCGTGGATCATATCCTGCATGAAATATTGGGCATGAGAAAGCTGTCTGCGCGATGGGTGCCGCGTTTGCTCACTCCCGACAATAATCGCAACCGTGAGACCACGTCAGAGCAGTTTTTGATGCTGTTTAAGCAATCCCGAAGGAGTTTCTGCGTCGTTTCGTGGCCTTCAACGAAACATGGATCCACTGGCACACACCAGAGAGCACGGAACAGTGGACTTCACCCGGCGAACGCGCTCCGAAAAAGGCGCAGACCGTCATATCGGCCAAAATGGTCATGACCACCGTCTTCTGGGATTCACAAGTGATCTACATGGACTACCTGGAGAAGGGCAAAACGGTCAGAGGGTTCTACTATGTCGAATTATTGGGCCGATTCGACGCCGAAGTGCAAAAAACGGTCCCAATTGGCAAAGCGAAAGTGCTCTTCCACCATGACAATGCAACCGGCTCATACCCCGCCGTCACCATGGCCGACTTGGTCGAATTAGGCTACGAACTGCTGCCTCATCCACCGTATTCTCCAGATTTGGCCTCGTGTGTTCAAACTTGAAAAGGTCACTCGCCAGGCAGACATTTGAGTCAAATGAGGAGGTAATCGCCGCTACGGAGGCCTACGTTGCAGACCTCAGCAGACGGGTTAAAGAAGTTGGAGCATCGCTGGGTCAAGTCTATCTAGCTAAAATGAGACTATGTTGAGCAATAAATCGCCACATTTCCAAATTTTTCGTTTTTATTTCGTAGGCTAAGTACTTATCGGACCGCCCTTGTATGTTCTTCTGTCTTAGTATGTTTTATTATAATATTGAAGAAGAAACTGTTTTGACCATACGCTCAGCTAAAAATATAGATATAAATCTTAGATATTCTAAAATGGGTGAATTCTAGCTAAAATCACGACCCTTGTGCTTTTAACACGTTCGCTGCGTAGTCAGACTGGATTAACTGTTCCCAATAGCCAAATACTTTTTTCACCAATCAGACTAATATTGGTATATGTAATCATTTTTAGTTATTTATATTGGTATCGAATTCAAAAAAGGTGTATATTGGTAGAGAAAAAAATTGTCCCCGTCCGGAGCCGGCGGCATTGAAACCAAGATTATTCGTATCACTGCTCACGGAAACCGATTACTCCGATCGGAGCCGTCGGCACATGGCGAAGATCACCGATTGGCTCCGATCGGAGTCATCGGCAGCGAACGTGTTAAACAATAATCAAGTACAAAAACTAAAAAGAAAAAAAATTATGATCATCTTGAAATTTCAGTTGTTTTCAGAGCTGAAAATCCCTCTTATAGACCCTGATACTTTTAGCAAAAAAAGCTAGGTATTCTGAATTTTTATGAAAAAGGGAATCTTCAAAAAAGACTTTGACACCCTGTATGTCGAAATCGAAACATTATCGATGTTATACAGACACTTTGCTTACAATTACCCAAGCCATCACCAGTTTGGCTAGGTACTTTAGAAACACCCATGTTGCACATAATTTCGTTTTTCAGATTTGTGAATCAATAGGAAAAGGTGAATTTTGTGAAGTTATGCTAGGGAAGTGGAAAAGTAACAAGGTTGCAGTCAAAGTTCTGAAGGATTCTAGTGAAGCAGAAGCTATTTTAATGAAGTAAGTTTCCTTGCGTACTTAACACTATACAAAAATGTTTCAAAGAGTAGTTTTGCAATTCAGGTTACATACAGGGTGTTCAGAATTTTCAAAATACAGGGCGATAAATTTAAAAAAAATCTATAATATCTTAAAAAGCATTTACTTGATTCTGCTGAAATTTGAACTGACGCGCAAATGTCACACCTCAATGCAGAAATGATTTTTTGTTTTCCAAGGCACTTGTGATTTTTTTAGCATAAATTAATAAACCGATGTTTTCCAGTAACATGCAATAAAACGGTTTTTATTTTTTGATTTTCGAAAACGAAGTGAGATGATACGGAAAAATACAAGAGGTAAATAAGTTGTATTTTTTGATTCTTAATCTAACAACAAATATTAAAGTTAGAAAAAAGCAGTGGCGTACATTTTTATGCCAACAATATTTGCTAGGGTGCCCCCGGGACGCCACCCGACCTAATTTTAATCTATTTAGGGCTAAATTATACAACAAATAATATAGCCAAATTTCAACATAATCGAGTAAGCATTTTTTAAGCTACTAATAAAAAATGTTTTTTTTTTAAATTTGAAATTCCTGTATCTTGAAAACTCTGCATGGCAATGCTGGAAGGACCCATGTTTATACAAACTTTTTTCATGTTTTTTTACAAGTAATCATCCTCCAAAATATCTCTGTCTATTTTTCAAACACCCTTTTTAACAAATTACAAAAAATTAGTTTTTCTATAACCAATAAAGGTTCTTCTTGGAAACATTTCTCTACTTATGTTGTTTTCGAATACGGAATATTACGTACCTTTATAACAATTAAATAAAAAAAAGCCCAGAAAACTCTTCAGAGTCTTATACGGGAGGGTTGACCTCACAAGTATTAATTTTAACAGAGTTCTTAAGCATTGCTTTTCGAACATCTGCGGGATTAACAGCCGTGCTTTTCTTGGCGGAGACAAAAATGTCAGAGTCTTCACCGATTAACCATCTTAACTTCCCAAACTACGAGGTGCACTCCAATCTGAGAAAGAACGGGGGAGTTGTAGCTTTTGTCCGCAGCAGTCTTTCCTGCTCCAGAGATGTTTCTTTAGAATCAAACCGGAAGGACATTATGTGGCTTCGCCTCAATTCCAAAACATCACCCAAATTTATTTGCTGTCTTTATCGCTCTCCCTCGGACCATAACTGGGATGACCTACTCGAATACCTCGCCGTTCAAATCGACTTCATGAACATGGATCACTCCGCTTCAGAGGTAGTTCTTCTCGGTGATTTCAATGCCCATAATGAGCTTTGTTTGGGCTCAAACAAGACCGATGCAGCAGGTCGTGCAGTCGAAGCGTTCGCTCTTTACTCAAGGGCTGACCCAGCTGGTGACGAGCCCTACTTTTTTCCACCGCGTCTCGTCACACGCCAGTAGCCTTCTGGACCTCTTTCTGACCACGCATCCTGCCCCTTACAGCACTGCTGCCCTGTGTAACTCAGACCACGGTGTTGTGGAGGTTAGGTTTCGGCCATAACCCGCTGTGGCAGCAGAAACTCGTACAGACCGCAAAACTTGGCATTACGGACATGTCGACTGGGAGGGGCTCAGAGACTTCTTCTCTAGCTTTCCTTGGAGAGATGTATGTTTCACTTACGCGGATGCGTCGGCTGTCTGTTCTTTGATAACCGAAATTATCCACGTCGGAATACATGATTCTCACAGTGAAAGTGCCTAAACCAGGGGCCAACGGCTGGTTCAACAAATCGTGCGACACTGCTCGCCAGTAGAAGATCAAAGCGCACAGAACCTTCTTACAAAACCCCACCGTAGTGAACAGACAAGCCGACGTCGATTCCAGAAACAAATATAACGAAGCGGTGCGCAATGCCAAAAACCAGCACGATATAAAAGTTAGGCACAGGGTAATGTCGCAGCGCAATGGCAGCCGGTCTTTCTGGACACTGGCCCAGCAGATTGAAAATAACTTCTCACACAGTAGCCTTCCACCCCGTACGTGTCATTATGGAACTATTGTATTCGACTCAAAGGTCAAGGCGGAAGTACTAGCCAAGATCTTTGCTGCCAACTCCACCATGGACGTCTCCCCCAACGCCCATGTGCCATCAATTCAAAGGGTTCCCTACTCTATGCGGGAGGTAACATTCAGGCATAAGACCGTAAGACGAGTGCTCTTGTCGCTCGACATCAACAAAGCTTCTGGTCCGGACTTGATTCCTGCCATTGTACTGAAAAGGTGTGCAGCAGAGCTTGTTCCAGTTTTTTCTCGTCTCTTCCAGATATGTTATGAATCCAGCACCTCCCCAGAAAACTGGAAATTTGCTCATGTCCAACCCATCCCAAAAAAAGGATCGAAGACCGACCCTTACAACTACAGGCCTATATCTCTGCTTTCTGTTATCAGTAAGGTGATGGAGAGGTGCATAAATCGCGAGCTTCTGGACTACCTCAAACGTCACAGCTTGATTAGCGACAGGCAGTATGGTTTCCAGCACTTTCCAGCACTAACGATCCACAAGGGACCTCCTAGATTACGTCACGCAATTGTGGAGTAAACTCATCCAGTCTTATGGTGAGGCTCATGTCGTTGCTCTTGACATCACGAAAGCTTTCGATCAGCTGTGGCACGCTACCCTCTTAAGCAAACTTCCATCCTATGGCATCCCAGCAAAGCTTTGCAGATGAGTGGCCGACTTTATCTCTGGCCGCAAGATATCCGTCGTAATTGACGGGTTCCCTCTTCATCCCACAACGTCAACGCGGGTGTTCCCCAGGGATCGTCCTTGGCTCCAACACTGTTTCTCTTACATATGTACGACCTCCTTTCCTGCACGATCCACCCAATCCACAGCTTCGCTGATGACAGTACTCTACATGCAGGAACACAGAGTGACAAGCCGATCTCTGCCGCTGAGCTGGAAAAAAGACTAGCAACTACTTCCTCTCTGACAAGAGACCTGGAGGCTATCACTGCTTGGGGACGCAACAATCTTGTACAGTTCAATGCTTCCAAAACACACTACTGTACTTTGACGAACAAAAAGCGTCCTAGCGCTCACCCGGTTTCGATAGATGGCCGAGATCTGCCAAAGAGCCATTCATTTCGGCTGGTCGGAGTCCTGATCACCGAGGACCTGATCTGGCTCGAACAGATCTCGTCAATAGCTGCTGCTGCTGGGAAAAAGCTAGGCTATTTGTTTAGGGCTAAGAAGTACTTTTCTCCACATGACCTTCTCACTCTATACAAGGCCCAGATAAGGCCTAGCCTTGAGTATTGCTCATACGTTTGGGGTGCTGCCGCCCCGACTACATTATCCATGCTCGATGCTGTCCAGAGGAGGATCGATGACTCTGCTCTAACAGACAGCCTCGAGACCCTTTAGCACCGGCGGGCCGTCGGCGGTCTAGCTCTTTTCTACTGCTACACCAAAGGGCTTTGCTCCTCAGAGCTCTCTTCCATGATGCCGCCGCGCGATGTGCCTGCCAGACAGACCTGCCTGACTTGGGCCTCCCATCCTAACCGTGTCGAACTTCGTACATCCAGAACTTGTCGATACCTCCGCTCGTTTGTTCCGACCGTATCGAGATTATGGAACAATCTACAAGAAGAAGCTTTTCCCAGTTCTACAAACCTTAGGCAGTTCAAAAATTGGATTAAAAAAATATCTTAGGGATCCTCATAGCAGCCGCGGTGTCCTGGCAATTAGGCTTCTGCCTGCGCGGCTGCTTCGATATAAAATAAAGAAAAAATTGAAAATGTCCATTTTTACTATTTTTCGGGTTTAAATCAGACAACTTTGGAAAGATGTTACTAAAGACATTTATTTGTATAATTAAAAAACTTTGCCTGCGGCGACAAATTTTTTTTGTGATACGTTTCAAAAATTGTTTGAACAAATTTGTACCGAGTTGAGTTGGAAAAGTTATTTGATGCTGTGTCTTTTTAGGTCTCTGCACCATGAAAACTTAGTCAATTTACTAGGTATAGTTAGAAAAAAGGAGCAAATATACCTAGTGACCGAGTATATGAGTAAAGGTAGTCTAGTGGATTACCTTCGATCTAGAGGTAGACAGCATGTTACCAGAAGGGATCAAATAAACTTTGCCTTCGATACCAGCTCAGGAATGGAATATTTAGAAAAAATGCACGTAGTGCATAGAGATTTAGCGGCTAGGAATGTTTTGATTGCAGAAAATGGAAGAGCGAAAGTTTCGGATTTTGGGTTGGCGAGGAATGAAAAGGCTGCTACACCTGAATCGGCCAAATTGCCGATCAAGTGGACAGCTCCTGAAGCGCTCAAGCAAAATGTGAGTTGAGAAGCCAATGCGCGGTTATACGAGGATGGTCTGAAAAGTTTCCGACCTAACAAAGATACAAGACATTTTTTCTGAAATTCTTTTTTATTTTTCAACATAGTCGTCTTGTAACTCTACACACTTCTCCCAGCGATGGTCCCATCTCTGTAACCCATGTAAATACTATTCAGCGTTGTTCTCTGCAAAATCATTGTTCACGAAGGTGATTTCCTCTTCATTTGACGAAAATCTCTGTAGCGCAATTTCTAGATGAGGAAACAAAGAGAAGTCGGTTGGGGCTAGATCTGGTGAGTAAAGCGGCTGGTCAAGCAGTTAAAACCGTAATTTGTGGATTTTCGCCATGGCAACCTCTGAGGTGTGAGACGACGCGTTGTCTTGGTGATACAGGATATTCTTTTTCTGCAAGTGTGGCCGTTTTTCCGTAAGTTCTGCCTTCAGCTTGCCAAGTAATGATTCGTAGTATGATCCTGTAATGGTTTTTCCTTTTTGAAGATACGTGATTAGATTAACTCCATGACTATCCCAAAAAACAGTCGCCATCACTTTCCCAGCCGAAAAAACCCCCTTTGCAGTCCACTGCCTGGACTGTATTTTTGTTTCGGACGTGTAATGCTGTATCCAACTTTCATCTACAGTAATTAAACGGGGACAACCTCGGACTTATTGCGCCTAAACTGCGCCAACAGAGCGTTGGAAATGTTCATTCGAACACGTTTTTCGTCTAACGTGAGCAAACGCGGCACCCAATGCGCGGACAGCTTTCTCGTGCCTAAATGTTGATTTAATATGTGACAAACACATCCTTTTGACATGTTCACAACCTCTGCTATCTCTCTCACTTTAATTGGTCGGTGGTCTAGCACCATTTGGTGAACTTTGGAGACGTTTTCGTCGGTAGTTGCAGTTTTTGGACGTCCCGAACGTTCATCGTCTCCGAAGCTCTTACGGCCACGTTTAAATTCAGCTGCCCAAAATTTTACTGTAGTAGAGCTAGTACTCTTTCTCGTGAGCCGCGCAATGCGCAAGAGAGAGGTGGGTGGGCACAGAATAGGGATATTCTCCTATCTCTTTCGTTCAGATGCAGTGTACAGTATGTCCGTACGGTGACGTAGTTATAAGGTTTATTTAATCGTACAGAGTTGAACGCGTGCATCCTAACGTATACCATGTTTGTGTATAATTTCATGATTACGAAATTTTACTAATTCTGTAAGCATTGTAATAAATATCATCTATAAAAGAGAGTTAAAAACAAACATAACTGCTCTGCTTATTTTGTGATTACATGAAATGTAAGGATTTCCTTGTCAGTGTTTTTTTGACATCCTCAAAAGTTGACAGTGAATTAATCGTTATGACAAACTACTGACGAATTTGTTCAAAAAAACTGAACTATATTTGTACGTAATAAACAGAGTAAGATACCTGAACATTCGTTTTAGTTAGACTGAGATGAACGTCCCACTGCTAAGTGGTTGGCATCCTAAATCGTTGTTATCTTCTCTGCTACTATCTGATGACAGGTGTATGTCAGATTCATCGCTGCCATAGCCTGTTCTTATAATAAATTCCTAGACGTTATCCATTATATATTCCCGACTTAGGTATTCTTCCTCCGCTCTTGATACTTGAAGGTCGCAAAGGTTTCCCCCTGTTTCTGGAGTGACGCGGTCTAATGCTTGTTTCGCCAATTTAGGAACATCGTCCATTTTAAAGGTGGTATTACAGGCAGCATCCTCATTTTTGACATTGCCCCAGATTTTCTCTATAGAGTTTAGTGAATGGTAGGGAAGCACGCGCAGAACATCATGACCGTTTTCATCTAATATCTACTGCATAAACTTTTTGCAATGGCTTATGTGTTTGTATTATACGATAAAGTTCAGGTTTTGTGATATTTATTATCAAAACGGATATTCTTTTCAGTGAGCCATTTCTATCTGCTTTTTTTCTAAGCAAACGTTAGATTACGGTCTATCGTAACATTATGGTAGGATGTATTGTCAATTACTAATACAGAATTTGGTACTAGTTTTTCTTGTATCCATAATTTTTATGATTCATATCATCATGATAATCTCCTGTTTTTAAACCTATTTAAATATGAGTTTTGCATTGGGAACAAAACCATTTCTACCCCCACAATGTATATATAATGATTAAACGTTTGCCTTTTACAAGTGGTGCTATTAAGCAATTATCTGTTCCATCATCCCATGCTTTCGGTACTGTGTGTGAGCTCTTTATGTATGTATGTTTCGTGGTTTTGACGATATTTCTGCCTACAAAAGTTTTTCTATGGTTAAAAGTTAAAAACGAATAATCTTATACTGAAAAACATCATAAATTTTGTATTCTCAAGTCGTTTGAAATATAATATATACACACCTAGATCTTTGTACACTTCCAGTCTTCTCAGGTATCCTGTCCGTTTCGCTCTGATCTCCGGCTTTTCAATCAGTACCTTAGTGTTATGTTCTGTTCTTTACCAACGGAAGCCCAATTTGCCCACTATTTTCCTGAATGATGTGAGGTTTCCATTAAGAGTTACACCATCGTTGGTAACAGCATCGTAAACCCACTTCATTGTATATAACATTTCCAATAATTTCTTCACCAAATTGATCCACTGACGACTTTGGGCTAGATTTGTTTATGGTTATCCGATGAGAAGTAAATTTTGTATCCGGTGGTTTGGAGTGATTTTCTTTAATAACACGCTTCACAGTATTTATGGATACACCTGTAGCTTCAGCTACTCTTTCAAATAAACGGCTAAGAGGTATGGTTAATTCTCTTGTTTCCTTCTCTCGTTTCATATATTCAAACACATTGAATATAATTTGTCGTCCTTGGCTATGAACAACTTTCTTGTTATTTTGTTCCCTATTTTTGAAAAATAATTTTTAATGCAATATTTCATCTGTTAATTTGTAGTAACTTACATTTTGCCTGCCAGATCTACTGGTAGTCTTGAAAAAAACTGTGTTGTAGTATTTAACAATAATACCCCTGGAAAAAATATAAGAACGCAAAATGTTACGCTGATGTTACCCGTTCGACGTCCAAGAGCAGAATAGATAGAAAAACCTATAAATATATATATATATATATATATATATATATATATATATATATCTAATGTAGTAGCTTTTCTAGCGTATTGTTTCTGCATTCAAGCCCACAGCTCACGAGATTCTGAGTTACCCTAAATGATGGTACAGAATCCCCATACACAGATTCTAACTCATCTTTGATTTGATTTGCCTTTCAAAAACAAATATTTAATGTCAGCTCGATACTCGATTTTGTCCATTTTCACAAAAACACTCACATCAACTTACTCAAACGACTGTCACATAACAACTGCGCATCCAAAGCGGCTAAAACTTTGGTGAGTAACTGTCAACAGATGAACAACCAAATTCACTAGCTTATATTTGCGAGTGCTGGCATCTTCACGTTGAGGTCGGAAACTATTCAGACCACCCTCGTACAGGGTGTTACAGAATGTTGTCCGCAATGATCAAAGGCAGATTTAGTACATAACATATGTTTTCGGAACCTATGTATATGAACGTGCCCAATCTGTCCAATTTTCCTGGCGCATTCTGTAACACCCTGTATTTTAAAAATGTTCATAAAAAATATGGCAATTTGTTTCAGAAATTCTCGAATAAGTCGGATATGTGGAGTTTCGGAATACTACTTTGGGAAATTTACTCCTTTGGAAGAGTTCCTTATCCAAGAATAGTAAGTAATTACTATTTTGTCCATTAAATACACGTCGTAGATACTACATTTTGATGATTCGTGTTTTTTTCATTATGCTGACTAGGACTAGAATTCAAAATACCGAGTTGTCAAATACGAGCCCTAGCACAAAAATGTTCCGCACTATCAAATTTTATCTAAAAGTTTGTTTATTTTTGTAAGGTGAACAATTAATTGTTTTCTTATAAGACAATATATTATATTGTTTGCACATCATACTAACAAAACTGTTTTCAAGCAATATGATATTGAAATATAAAATCAGACCAATATTGATAACAACGCAACATTTTGCTGACATATAAATGTTTGGACACGATATTGAAAAGAAAATAATATCAGGCCATGGAAATAAAAACGTGTTAACTGTTTGACGTTTTGATTAAATGATCAATTCCGTGAATCAATTCGCTTTAAAATGTCGAGTGGTAAAGCAACAAATGGTGCAATATGAGTTTTAGTCATAAACTTGCGACATCAAGGAAAGAGTTTTCGGGATATTGCTAGACAAATAAATGTCACAAAGTCTACGGTGGCAGATATTGTAAAAAAGTTGGAGACAGGTTCAACTCAAGTTTCAAGACACGGTGTTGGTAGGCCACGTAAGTTCAGCCCTAGATTGCAAAGATCTCTTGTCCGCATTTGTAAAGCTGGTCATTGGGGTACTTACTGTAAGGGACATAACAGCAAAATGGAATGAAGAAACAGTGGGAAAGGTTTCGCGTGAAATGTGTGGTCGGTGGATTTATAAGTCTGGTTTACATTTTTGTAAGGAACGTAGGTTGTTAAAGGACATACATGTCACATTTATCCAGTAAAATCTTTGCTTCAGGCAAAAGAAAACCCGTTGCTTACGGAAAACCAAAAGAAAAGGCAGTGTGGAGTTACGAAGACTGGAAAAAGATAATTTTTAGCGATGAATCGTTTCTCAACCTTTCACCATTCGCGACCCAATTTTCAATAGTTATTTTCACCGCGTCCCTCCCCCCTCACACAATAACATTGTGTGTATATAACAATAATGTACCGTGAGTATTTTGACGCTAAACTTAAGTAGAACCTTAATTACAAATCCTACAACTTACCGATAATAAGTAAATTTATACATATTTGGCAACGCCGATCTACTGCATTGGCAAATCCGGAATCAATGCCAATCGCGAAAAGTTCTGAGCTATTCCGAAAATTCTCGACCGTCTGCGCGAACGTGTATACAGGCCGCATCTCGTCAATTCTGGTTAGTCTCAGTCTAGTCAGTCGTTCAGGCTGTGCTAAATCTAAATCTATTGTGAATGCGTATGTTGTATTTATATATATATATAATAGGAAAATAATAATAATAATAGGATCTACAAAGAGAAAATTATCATGCGGAGAAAGGTATATAACAAAAATAGGAAAATAATGGGCAAAATCCGCAAAAAGTGGATTCGAGCAGAAAATAGGATAGGTAACCCGAGCGATACGTATTTCTGCTGGTTGGCTTCATCAGACCCGAAATGAATGCACATATGCAACTAAAAAAGTAGATTACACATGCCTATACATCCGGATACGGGTGTAACCTGAGGAAACGAAGATGGAGAGGAAAAAAGAAGACACACGAAGTCCACAAGAGCCAACCTACACATTGTAGTATAAAATGGCTAGAAGACCTCAAATTTTCAAGGCGACAAATAACCACAACCACGAGGCCGGTTATAGCCACTTGCTGTGGTACTTCAAGCCCGAAGGATATACAAAGAGAAAATTATCATGCGGATAATGTATAACAAAAATAGGAAAATAATGGGCAAAATCCGCAAAAAGTGGATTCGACCAGAAAATAGGATAGGTAACCCGAGCGATACGTATTTCTGCTGGTTGGCTTCATCAGGCCCGAAATGAATGCACATATGCAACTACAAAAGTAGATACACATGCCCATACATCCGGATATGTGTGTAACCTGAGGAAACGAAGATGGAGAGGAAAAAAGAAGACACACGAAGTCCACAAGAGCCAACCTACACATTGTAGTATAAAATGGCTAGAAGATCTCGAATCTTCAAGGCGACAAATAACCACAACCACGCGGCCGGTTATAGCCACTTGCTGTGGCACCTCAAGCCCAAAGGATCCACAAAGAGAAAATTATCATGCGGATAATGTATAACAAAAATAGGAAAATAATGGGCAAAATCCGTAAAAAGTGGATTCGAGCAGAAAATAGGATAGGTAACCCGAGCGATACGTATTTCTGCTGGTTGGCTTCATCAGGCCCGAAATGACTGCACATATGCAACTACAAAAGTAGATACACATGCCCATACTTCCGGATACGGGTGTAACCTGAGGAAACGAAGATGAGGAGGAAAAAAGAAGACACATCAAGTCCACAACAAGAGCCAACCTACACATTGTAGTATAAAATGGCTAGAAGACCTCGAATTTTCAAGGCGACAAATAACCACAACCACGCGGCCGGTTATAGCCACTTGTTCTGGTACTCAAGCCCAAAGGATCTACAAAGAGAAAATTATCATGCGGATAATGTATAACAAAAATAGGAAAATAATGGGCAAAATCCGCAAAAAGTGGATTCGAGCAGAAAATAGGATAGGTAACACGAGCGATACGTGTTTCTGCTGGTTGGCTTCATCAGGCTCGAAATGAATGCACATATGCAACTACAAAAGTAGATACACATGCCCATACATCCGGATACGGATGTAACCTGAGGAAACGAAGATGGAGAGGAAAAAAGAAGACACACGAAGTCCACAAGAGCCAACCTACACATTGTAGTATAAAATGGCTAGAAGATCTCAAATTTTCAAGGCGACAAATAACCACAACCACGAGGCCGGTTATAGCCACTTGCTGTGGTACTTCAAGCCCAAAGGATATACAAAGAAAAAATTATCATGCGGATAATGTATAACAAAAATAGGAAAATAATGGGCAAAATCCGCAAAAAGTGGATTCGACCAGAAAATAGGATAGGTAACCCGAGCGATACGTATTTCTGCTGGTTGGCTTCATCAGGCCCGAAATGAATACACATATGCAACTACAAAAGTAGATACACATGCCCATACATTCGGATATGGGTGTAACCTGAGGAAACAAAGATGGAGAGGAAAAAAGAAGACACACGAAGTCCACAACAAGAGCCAACCTACACATTGTAGTATAAGATGGCTAGAAGACCTCGAATTTTCAAAGCGACAAATAACCACAACCACGCGGCCGGTTATAGCCACTTGCTATTTTCTGTTCGAATCCACTTTTTGCGGATTTTGCCCATTATTTTCCTATTTTTGTTATACATTATTCGCATGATAATTTTATATATATATATATATATATATATATATATAGGTGAAAAATTAAAGCTTCCGCCTTTTGTTGGGTACTTCGACAAGATTTAAGCAAAGACGACTCTTTATACTTTTTTTAATTCTCTCTAGCTTTCAATGGACTTTGCCATCATCATCAGGAGCTGCAATTACAATGATAACAGTAGCAACAAAGATGTAAAATGAATTTAAATTGACTCAACTTACAGTAGTATGTGAGGATGTTGCTAATTGTTGTTTACGTATAGCATGAGGGAAACGTCCAGTAACATGGTGAGAGCTGGATAGATTGTACAATAGTCAAACTTATATAAAATATGACAAGAACAAGTTAAAAACAGATTAAAAATTATTTAAAAATTTTTTTGAGCATTACATCGTGAAGCCACCTGATGATTGCACAAATTAGTGGTCATGGAATGATGAATTGATGAGTGACATGAAACCCTTTGACAGAAGGCCGAAGGATGTCAATGTCAGTATTGAAAGATGGAACGAATTGTGGGCGTGTGCCAAAACGTTGCCAAATCACTTCAGATGATGAGATTTTCAGAATTTTATGTTAGAATTTGTTAAACCGACCAGAGGCAGTTGAATAAACTATATTATTATTAATGGGAATTCAAATTAACAATTATTAATAAATTGTGAGGAGAGAATTATTATATTTTGGGTGGAATGAAATTTACTGGTGGAATCGGCCAAAACACAGATTCTAATTATGGTTGTGAAGAGTTGAAATTTGGGGAGATATGTAAGTTCTCCAATTTTTCGCAGTTTAGCAAATATGAGTAAATGACACTCAGTTGTTTAGCATCTGTCTTTTTGTTGATACAGTTGTTATTCATGAAAATGTGGGACATTTCCAGGAATAAACGTTTGGAAAGGTGTTTTTCTTTATCAAGAACTTTGATACTTGTGTAATTCATAGAATGCCCTGTTGTGTTAACATGAGATGCTAGAGCGCATATTTCAGGATGAAGCCTAGCATCACTTTTGTGTGATGTAATCCTTCCTTTCCTTTGAAAGATGCGCTCTAGCATCTCATGTTAACACAACAGGGCATTCTATGAATTACACAAGTATCAAAGTTCTTGATAAAGAAAAACACCTTTCCAAACGTTTATTCCTGGAAATGTCCCACATTTTCATGAATAACAACTGTATCAACAAAAAGACAGATGTTAAACAACTGAGTGTCATTTACTCATATTTGCTAAACTGCGAAAAATTGGAGAACTTACATATCTCCCCAAATTTCAACTCTTCACAACCATAATTAGAATCTGTGTTTTGGCCGATTCCACCAGTAAATTTCATTCCACTCAAAATATAATAATTCTCTCCTCACGATTTATTAATAATTGTTAATTTAAATTCCCATTAATAATAATATAGTTTATTCAACTGCCTCTGGTCGGTTTAACAAATTCTAACATAAAATTCTGAAAATCTCATCATCTGAAGTGATTTGGCAACGTTTTGGCACACGCCCACAATTCGTTCCATCTTTCAATACTGACATTGACATCCTTCGGCCTTCTGTCAAAGGGTTTCATGTCACTCATCAATTCATCATTCCATGACCACTAATTTGTGCAATCATCAGGTGGCTTCACGATGTAATGCTCAAAAAATTTTTAAATAATTTTTAATCTGTTTTTAACTTGTTCTTGTCATATTTTATATAAGTTTGACTATTGTACAATCTATCCAGCTCTCACCATGTTACTGGACGTTTCCCTCATCCTATACGTAAACAACAATTAGCAACATCCTCACATACTACTGTAAGTTGAGTCAATTTAAATTCATTTTACACCTTTGTTGCTACTGTTATCATTGTAATTGCAGCTCCTGATGATGATGGCAAAGTCCATTGAAAGCTAGAGAGAATTAAAAAAAGTATAAAGAGTCCTCTTTGCTTAAATCTTGTCGAAGTACCCAACAAAAGGCGGAAGCTTTAATTTTTCACCTAACTGGTCTAGACGACAATGACCACGTCTCAAGTTATATATATATATATATATCCTTAGCAGTGAATTTAAATTTATACCAAATCATGGATAAATTTTTGAGTGGGCGTAAGCGAGCAATTCGATACTAGTGAAGCATCATGGAGTGTACAGGCGAGATAGGTTCCAAAAATAAAATCAAGAAAATATTCTCAAGAATACTCAAATTTTGGGTTTACATCTATTTAAGTCCATGAAGAAGAGATGCCTCTGTGTATCATTTGCACCTAATAAACTTAAACGACATTTGGAAACGCTTCATAGTGAGTACGTTAACAAGCCCCGAGAATTCTTCGAGTTAAAATTAAAAACAAGAAAAGCAAAAATCATTTAAAAAAAACTTTGATTCTGAATGAAGCTTTATGCCAGCTGCAATTAAAATTGTAGAAACTATGTTTGGAGATAATTTTGCTAAAAACTTGGGAGTCCATACCTCTATCAAATGATACGGTTGCCCGTTGAATTGTTGATATAGCTGAAGATATACAGGATCAAGTTGTTCTCAGTTCAGCTTGAAATAAAGATGCTCATCTTATAGCCTACGTTCGATGTTGTGATGGCATATCAGTAGTACAAGAACTACTTTTCTGCAAACTCAAAGCAACAGCTCTGGCATTATTTGCTATCCTAAATGATTATACAGGGTGCGGCAGAGAGGACGGACGTTTTTTGGATGGGTAGTACTCTCCGCCTCCGTGAGAGGTGGGGAGGGTGCCGTTTGACTCGTGAGATCCTAGCATTATTTTACCAGTTGTCGTTATGGAGCCTTGGACGGTGGAGCACCGCGTTTTCGCCTATGATTGTTTCGTCCGAAATAATGAGTCAGTCATCGTCGTACAGAGTGAGTTTAGTCGCCACTTCAACATTCATCGGAATAGAGCTGTTCCCTCTCGAAACACCATCCTTCGTTGGGTTGAATCACTTCGCAGGCGTGGTGAACTGATCAACAGAAGACCAAGAGGAGCGCCGCGAACAGTTCGAACTCTTGAAAATGTTGAACGCGTTCGACAGGTCTTTCTTCGCAGTCCGACTCGATCTGCCCGGAAACATGCTGCTGCACTTCGCTTTAGTGATCTTTCGGTAAGGCGAATTTTGCATATGGATCTCCGCTTTCACCCCTACAAATTGGCCAGTGTGCAACAGTTACAGCCCGGAGATTATGCACATGAGATGGAAGCACTGATCGATCAAAATGAGAACCTCATTTTGTTTATGAGTGACGAGCCCACTTTCACCTAAACAGCATGGTTAACCAGCAGAATTGTCGTTATTGGACTAATGAAAATCCGCAACAGTTACACGAAAGACCGCTACACAGTCCAAAAGTAACGGTTTGGTGCGCTGTATCGCAAACTTGCAACATTGGCCCTTACTACTTCGAAGACGGTAATGGTCGTGATGTTGCCGTGAACTCAGAGCGCTACGTCGACATGATCACCAACTTCTTTCTCCCTGAATTACGACGGCGACGTGTTCCAATCCGACGTGTGTGGTTCCAGCAGGATGGGGCGACCGTCCACACAGCCCGAGCATCCATGGACGTTATTCGCCCTCTCTTCCCTGGTCGCCTTATTTTCAGGTTTGTCGATGTTCATTGGCCTCCTCGGTCCCCAGATTTATCCATATGCGATTTTTTCTTATGGGGACACCTCAAGGCTAGAGTATACGCGAACAAGCCCCGAACTCTGGACGAATTGAAGGGCGAAATTCGCGTGGAAGTCGCCCAAGTTGAGAGAGCGAAGTTGGAGAGAGTCTACGCGATCTTCCAAGAACACCTCCAGCACTGCATCAACGATTTCGGCCACCACATGCCTGATATGATTTTCCACACTTGATTATCTCAAATGCTATTTCCTTGTGAACCTGATTCCATCAATAAATTTGTTTTCGAGTAAAAATGAACTATTTTATGATTTTTTTAAAACCGTCCATCCTCTCTGCCGCACCCTGTATAATCAATCGAAACATAGAGTGGAAGAACTGCGTCAGAATATGCACCGATGAGGCTTGTTCAATGGCCGGAAGATTGGGAAGTATACAAGCCCTTGTAAAACAAAAATCTGCACTGTGTATCTGGACTCATTGCATGTTTCACAGAGAAACTCTGGCTTCCAAAGAAGTGTCTCCTGGCCTGAATATTGTGCTAATTACGGTTGTAAGAGTAGTTAATTACATAAAAATGAGACCTTTCAAAACTAGAATCATTTGTGCACTTTGTAAAGATATGAGTGCAGTTTATACTATACTATTGCGATGCAAGATGGTTATCACGTGGGAAATGTTTACAAGGTGTTTTTGAATTAAGACATGACATTGCCGTTTTTTTAGAAGAAGAAAACCGACCGGAAGCCGAGATGTTTCGAGATGGTTTATTTCTGATGAAATTGAGCTGCTTTTTCAACATATTCGAGAAACTAAATATCTTGAACCTCCAGCACCAAGGAGCAAATCCACATATGTTGGATACGAGTAATAAAGTTGACGATTTTTGTAGAAAATTAGAATTGTGGAGCAGAAATTTAAAGCAAAAAAACCTGGAAATGTTTGCAAATGTGGATGAATGTATTAAAACTTGCAAGGTTGAAGAACAACACATGAAAGTTGTTTTCATAACCATTGAAAATCATTTAGCGATGCCGACAAAGAATTTTTAAAAAAAAATGCTTGCCGACGACAAATTATTACTCGTACTTTTTACGAGTGTGTTAGGAATCCGTTTCAAATTACTCCCGAAGGGCTTTCAACTGCCGATGAAGAAATCTTCATAGACTTGACGGCAAACGCCGAAACCAAAAAGCAGTTTAATAATAAATCCCTATTTGAATCTTGGGCAGGTGAACGAGGAGTTTTCGACGCTGAAAACCGGAGCGTTTCGTATACTACTACCATTTTCAACATCCCACCTTTGTGAAACAGGATTTTCGGCGGTGGCTGCTTTGAAGACCAAATATAGATCCTAGCTAAATATAGAAAATATATTTCAAATATTGCACCGTGTTTCGACAAGCTTTGCTCGGCAAAGCAGGCCCAAGGGAGTCACTAGTAATTATTATTTTTTACAATTTATATTACTAAACTTATTTTTAATTTAGTATTGATAAATACAGTCCTGTATATGAGTGTACCTGCTATATCAGTGTTAATGTGTATTTTATTTTTGATTGTCAGAAATTTTTTTTCTTTCCTTTAAGTAACTTATTCATTGTGTTAGTGTTTTTCTCTTATATGCTCGCCCTCCTAGGGAGGCGCGCCCCACAGGTTGAGAAACGCTGGTCTGAAAAGTAAAGTTTCCATCAGGTTTAATGGTATGGGGAAGTATATCTGCTTTTGGCGTTGGAAACTTTCACTTTATAGACGGAACTGTAAACGCAGCTAAATATCAAAATACCTTTGAAACCCTATTTTGCTAGTGTCAATTCCAATTTTGTCACCTGATAGAAATGTTATTTTTCAACAAGATGGTGCGTCATGTCATACGGCCATAACCACGGAAAAATGGTTGCAGGATAATACTATTTTCGTCCTTCCGTCCAGTATTATGAAACTATGGCACAAAATGAAGCAGCAGTTAAGAAATGATCCACAACGAGACATTTCTGATTTACAAGTAAACTTACAAAATTAATGGGATTCTTTTAAGACGGAAGACTGCAAGCCAGAATTAATGCCGTTATTAAGGCAAAGGGAGATATAACAGGCTATTGAAATGGTTCGTCCGAACAATATTAGTTTAGTTTTATAGTTTCATATATTACTTGTTAATATGATGTCCAAACAATATATTTCAATGCCTTATAAAAGAAAAAAATATTTTTCAACCTTAAAAAATGAACAAACTAAGATAAAACTAATTATCTAAATAATGTTTGGTGTTAGGGCTCGTACAAGACTGATGGCAGTTTCCCCTCTTCATGTTTTTTAATGTTTATCACTGAAGGATCGAATTAAAGAAACTATATTTTATTTGTATGACTATGCCATTTTAGACTTTATTATACATTATACACGAGATCTAAAACGGGCATGTCGATATACAGGGTGACAACTGGCAACCGGACGATTTTGGAATAAATATTGCAGACGAAATTTGCGAGATAAGATTTTATGAACATCAAAATCAGGCTTACATACAATGTGTAAAGTATAGAAAATAATGCTATGAAGATGGTGACCATCGAGTTGGATGCAGTGATCTCACAGAAAAATATCACAAATTGACAGGTCGGGAGACCTTGGAGGCCACAGCACATCTCCGAAACGTGAAATGAATTTTCCTGGGAAAAGGTTGCGGAAAACGTTCATTGACTACGCGTTTCAAAAAAATCCGATTCCCGGCTTTCACCCTGTATGTTCATTTCCATCTTTTCTAACTGGTTAGTTGATTAGCGACTAATTATCATATTTTTTCCTAGCCACTTGCAGATGTTGTGAAACATGTAGAAAAAGGATATAAAATGGAAGCACCTGAAGGTTGTCCTCCAGAAGTTTACGAGATCATGCGGCAGGTAAATATCAGCATTTTATTATATCAATGCCAATAAAAATGTAATACTCGTACAAAGTGTAATTACGAATCTTGTGTTCAAGATAACACTGCTTTTGAAGGTGATCATATACGAGTATGTTTTTTAACTTTTCGTAAACAACAAATGCATCGCTTGTAGATATTGCTGAAATTTAATGAAAAATTATTAAAAAGGCGTTAGTTTGCCAGTACTCGGACAGAAGGTGCTACTAGTTTTAGATAGAACTCTATTTAAACATTTGTGATGGTAGAATAGAAATTCCAAATCAGCTGTCATTAAGGCCCGTATCGTCAGTCGTCCCTACCATTGTAGGGCGCGTTTATGGCCTCCTTGATTGTCATACTCCTTTCTCTCCTTCAAAAATTTCTAGATTACACTTGACCCGTGTCAGCGTCAGCGCTCTTCTATTGTGAAGATATGTTTTCTTTTTAAATTGTAGGAAATTTCAGGCTGATAAAACATGATATAACTCAAAAGCAAGCACAATTTGATGCAAATAGATGTTTGTGAGATAACCTCAAAATAGAGCGCTGACAGGGAGAAGTAGAAAACTATGACAATCAAGGAGGCCATAAAGGCGCCCTACACCTGTAGGGACGACTGACGATACGGGCCTAAGACTTTGAGGAAAAGAAATTAAACAGGCTCATACCGAGTGCATTTAATATAGATTTTTTTATTAAAAAATGCATACAAACTAGGTAAAAATGAACAAGAAACTATTTTCTTCCTTCAATCCGGTCCTGCATGTCGACTTTGAGTTACCATACTGTTTACATACAAGCAATTTCCCAACATTTCTCATAGCTAGTTTCCTTTAGCCTGCCAAGATATTATACACAGACTTTATTTTTTTCTTGGTATCCATCCCCGAATGAAATGGAAATGTAAAATTTTATTCCATAGTCTCGTGAAAAAATGGCGGGAAAATGGAAGTGGTCGGTTATTGGGATGCTATGAAAATTCGTTCATTCCAGCAACCGGGCACAATATCACTGGCTGGGGATTGTTAGGTTGTGTATTTTCATCGTTTTTGTTTTTTTGCATTAAACTCACATTAAACCGATACCAGATAATGGAGGATGGCAAAAAACTGATAATGTTATGACCCAGAATCACAACGTACATTTGAGATGTTCCTGAATAATAACGATCACAAGAGAGTGTTGTTGGCTTCAGCTATAACTAGACACTTTGAACATAATTTTGAGTGTCTACACTAAAATATGAATTCGACACATTTATCCAGAAGCTTTACAATAAAAATGCAGACCTCTGATGTGTTGCGCTATCATTCTAAAAGCATTATTAGGCATCAGTTGGACAGTCTGACAATGCTTTTGAAAATAAAGGCAAAATGTGTTTACATTTTCGTTTGGCATTGTGATACAAATTGTCAACGTCAAAGCAAAACATCAACAAACATGTTAGTTTTTGTCGTCGCGTTCCCGTGCGCATTTGCTAGAGCAGTTCGGGAGCATCACACTCCGGGTGCATACAACTGTCAATTCAAAAGCACTGGAAAGCGGCTCTGGTTGTAGGTTGTAGATTACATCTCTTAGATTCAACTATTACATTGAAAGTGAAAACAGATAGTTCCTTAATAACTTTGGAGGACAAATTTCAAAAACCTTCACTGAAAAAGACTGATTTGTATAAATTAATTCATAGAGACTATGGTTATTTACCTAGCTGTTGTAAAATCATTGTTCTTACTTTTGTTTGATGTTATCCCATAATATTTTGAGTTGTTTGCTTGCTTTTTTAGGTTTATCATTGAAGGTTTTTGAAATTTGCTCGTCAATGTTAATAAGGAGCCTTCTGTTTTTATTTCCAATGTCTAAGTCACTCATTATAATTTATAATATCTTTACTTTGTGAAATACTGTAGTAGTTGAATCTGACAGACGTGATCTACAAGCTGAAAGCAGAGCAGTTCAGTGCAACTGGTTGCCTATATTTAGTTTTTTTACTTCACTGGGCGCTGTAATTCAAGGAATAGTCTAAATCATATTAGCAAATTTCCCCGAAATAATTGTAAAGTCGGGTTTTAATGATGCAAGTTGTTTTAGGGGTATTTAAAACATGGACGCATGAAATGGGTACACCAATTTATGTGGGAAAACTTTCTATTCAACAACAAATAATGAGAAAACGTGATTTTTGGGATTCAATTGAAAATGTTGGCAGGAACGAAAAAACTCTTCAAATAAGATTTCCAAGTATTTATGAGACCTAAAAAATGAGACCAGACGTAAAACGATCCGATTAATAGTAAAAAAGTTATGGCCGAAAACCGAGGCAAAATGCAGGTTTTGGCACTTGTTGCTAATGCGACGATAATTTCACGCAGCTACTTGGGATTCTTAAAATCTGGTGATAGACACGTCCGCTTTGTTTTAAAATGTGTATAATAATGTATGTTTTTCGAATATCGTAACTAATCTGTTCAGTTACTCACATATACGAAGTGTTTGAATTTGTTTAGAAGAAAAAACGTAACCCTTCGTTTTTCGCACAAAAATAACAATTATCTTTCGGAATGGTTTGTGATTCACGTTGGCAAGGTAAATTTGTGTATTTTGCTATAAAATGTCCGTTGAACAAACCCTGTATATTGCTCAGTAAACTAGTAGTGATGGCCGGGATACAGGTGTTTTGGGATAAACAATTAGACATTTTCAAAATATAATTGACCAATCGACTCCAATTTTGTTGTGGTTATTTAGAAGTGTGAAGCCTACGGATTCAAAGAATTTCAAGCAGCTGCGTGAAATTATCGTCGAATCAGCAACTGCATTTTGCCTCGGTTTTCGGCTATAACTTCTTTACTATTAGTGGTATATTTTTACGTGAGGTCTCATAAATACCTAAAAATTTTATTTGAAGAGTTGCTTCGTTTCTGCCAACACGTTCATTGAATCCCAAAAAACGGGTTTTCTTATTCTTTGTTGTCGAATAAAAAGTTTTCCCACAAAAATTGCTGAACCCATTTTATGCGTACATGTTTTAAATACCGCCTTGAACAACTTGCATCAATAAAACCAGATTTTACAATAATTATTTCGCAAACCAGGGGTACATTATAATTTTGCATTGTTTATTGATATATATTTAGCGCAAATATACCAAATCGTCCCAATTAATGACAGCTGGTGACGACAACTGTTACAGCATACTGAGAAATAAAAATCCATTGTTTCCCAGGATGCCTCAAACGCCAAGAAAGATTTATAAATCTAACTCCCAAGTTTTCGGTACATTTAGGTGGGGAGATTGAAATCGGACCCCCGGATACCGGTCGACCAGCGTCTTTAGACTTCAGCTTTTCTACTTTTCGAACTGTTGTCACAAGTTTTGGGAATGTCCTTTTTATCGTTGAGGAATTCCAAGAGTGTAGTAAATTATGAATAGTTACTAGGGCTGATTTTTCATTGGAAAATTGACGTCAGACTATATATAAGGATAAACAATGCTCTTTGAAAGGAAAAGGGAATTCCTGTGATCCTACTTGGCAACAAGGATGTCATGATGGAAATTGTAAATGAATTGCCAGATACAGCATAGGATTGAGCATCTTGGAGGAAACCTTAATCAATGTTGAAAGCTTATTGATCTGTATTGCCAAAATTCCAAATGTTCTTTGAACTTGAGATACTAAATCTATTGTTGCTTTTTTCAGGCTTGGGACCTGAATCCAGAAAAAAGACCGAACTTTTACGAGGTGAAGACGAAACTAGGTATATTGAAACAGCAAACGCCACTGTGAATGTAGAGTGTATAAATGTGTATGACAGTATGAAAGTAGTGTGCACCAAGTGATATGCATGACTTTTCACCATAATTTATCGATTTTAATAAGCAATCATTTCAAAAAAAGCTTCAAGCGATGAATGTACAGTTAATCAATTTTATGTGATGTGGATTTAAAAAAATATTTTTTATTGCCGTACTCTGTAAACAGATTTATTATTTATTTTCTAAAAATTTTATTTATCGTACTTACATTTAAGGAAATTTATATTGCAGTCGAGTTATGTACATTTTGTAAGTTTTTCTGATTTCATTCAGAAGCAATTTTTGTAATTTTAGTTGTATCTAATGTATATTTTTTTATTTTTATTCTTGAATTGGGAATTTTAAAAATAAATTTTTTTATAACTATTTCCGAGTTTTCATTAACGCAATACTAGCGCAATAGTTGTAGATACAATCGTAGTTTTCAAAAATAAAAAGAATGCTGACTATAAAGTTCCCACGTCTTTAAAACGACTAGGGCAAATTTCAAGGAATCTCATATATGCAGATAAATTCTGGTGTGAAATCTCGAACATGGCACGAATCTACTGTCAAGAATGGTGGTTAGTATTTGAATTCACAAACTTGACCTCCAAATAACCTTTGAGATCATTCTCTATGTCATCTTTGAGGTGATCGACTGGTTGCTTTTTAGATATCCTGAAAGTTTCAAAAAATACTTGGTTGCGACGTTTTCGGGGTGTTCGTGTACTTTTCAGACATTACAGTAGGTCATGTTCATTGAGCCACTTATGCCCGCTTGACCTCGTGTATGGAAATCCATTATGCTGTAAAATCGCTAGTTCGACATGAATCTGCTGTCAAAAATACTGAATTTACAAAGTTGAGCTCCAAGTGACCTCCCTCTGAGATGAATGACTCGATGGCGGTATAGGCTTTCCTACTTTTGGCAACTCTGTAAAGCCACGTACAGACCGAGATTCCAAAGCAAGCGACGGCACGTATGGTTGCAGATTTGGAGGTTTTCGAATCGGTGTGTACGGCGCGAGCCAACGGTTTCCATGGTCGGCGTTGGCGCTCGACTGCGTTCGCTCCTTGATCGGTGCATCAAAGGAAGGTTTGATTTGGTCTTGACAGTGTTGCCAAAAGTAGCGGAATTCCTCTACTGGAAGCGGAATTTTCAAGTGGTAGCGGCGGAATTGGATTTTTTGTTAAAAGTAGCGGAATTTTGCAACTTGGTACACATGATGGATATTTTTACCAGAAAAAAAAATTGAGTGTAGTTAGTAACCAAATCTGAATACAGGTATATTTATAATCGACAGTGGTAACCACCGGTCGGCAATTCTTATTCAACGGAGACGCAGATTGATGGTAGTAGATGGTAAGAACACAATATGTGAAGTGTATTTCCAAAGTATGTCTAATAATTTTAATATTTCCCACATGGTAATACAGATGTCGAGTGGACATTCTCATATATGGGGATAATCAAAACAAAGAAAAGGAATCGTATTGTACCTCCAAGTTTGCTCGCGATACGAAAATGTTTACTGCTTAGACTTCGAGTATGGTGAAAAACATTTTAAAAAATACACAAATAATTTATATAGTATAGAGAGAACAGAAATACAACAAGAAGATACAGACAGTGACTAAGTATAAGTAACTCAAAAACTTCAATTTTTTTATGCAAAACAGAAATAGCCTTTAGTCCTATGCTTTTTATTTTTTAGTTTCATGTGATATTTTTTTAATATGACTGGGTGATAAATGTTCTGTTGTTTGACAGTTATTTGTAATATTGTATTGGTTTTTATAGTCAAATGTTTTTTATTACAGTTTTTATCACGGTGTTTGGTTTTTGTTTTTCTTTTTTGGCACAACCTGTATAATAAATGCCCCCCTATTTTATGATAGTGCGCCAACCTCCTTCCCTCCGACGATAATCACCGGGGTAGCGGAAAGTAGCGGAGTTTTTCGATACCAGTAGCGGAATTTTCAATGTTGGCTCTGGCAACACTGGGTCTGGACAGGATTTGTTGCGCTTCTAGTATTTAGTCGTTTGTCTGCATTCGATGAGAGGAGAGTCGTCGCTCGACATTAGCACCGAACTTAACCCAACCTGGTCCAACTCGAAACTAAATTTAGGTGTAGACGAGCGCACTCCAATACTTTCCAGCAACAAACGCCAACGTCACATGTGCTTGCATTCGTTTGCTGGGCGTTGGATTTTCGGTCTGTACGCGGCTTAAGATCTTTCAACGCAAGCATTACCGAACCTACCGGTTTTTCTACCAAAATGTCTTCATTTTCCACGAAAATAATTCAGATATTTCCACATCTTTTTAGAACCAAATATAAAGCTGAAAAAATGAATTCTATGTCGTAGTCTACGTAATTTTATGGCCCATAATGTACGCATTAGGCAGTCGGGTACGCAAGGGACGTAGATTTGGTTGCTTATGATTATGCACGCACATCTCTACTCCGCATTCCCTGTATCGGTTTTTGTGCGTACGAGTACAGACTGGTAGATCACCTCATCACCGGACAAGCAATAAGAAAACCGAAGCTCCTCGGTTTTTAATAATTAAATATTAAATTATAATGTCAGATGGGGTTTCAAGTTTCATTAAACGTGCTCTCATCAGACAAAATTTGGTCCTCAGTGTATGAGGGAAATCAAGAGCACTCGTTATAAAAAATACTCCGACAACTCTCTCGGCATCTATGCGGCGGAACGTTAATGACACTTTTATAAATTCCCAGTTTTATAAAATATCTGTTGCCTCTTTCTTTTATGCATACAGGACTTCTCCCATGAATTGTAAAAAAGAATATTTGACTATATAAATATATTTAATAACTATTTGATCTATAATTACATGACCATTAATAGGAAAACCATGATTCTCGTTTTCTCTACTATTTGTTAGCGGAATATGTTTTTCTAGTGACCGCATTCGCACCTGGGCGAGGGAAACCCCTAGAAAACCTCAACCGTCACTGCTGTAACAAGTTGGTCGTTATTGCTATTAATTAGTGAACGTAGTTAGTTATCTAGTCAAATAAATTAATTAATTAGCTATGTCCGTCACGATGAAATTCGCTAATCACGATGTCTGTCAGTATTATCACCAGGATAGACCGGAACTCGAGCGGACATTCCGACAATTACTTAAAGTTCATGTTATTGAGATTTTGGTGCGGTTGGAGCTGACTAACGGAAACCATTAATAAGACGAATATCAATTGCTTTTAGAAAAAGATGTAAGGTAACTTACCTATTTACTATCTTACGCTGAGAAGGCTTCTTAAGATCGGCGCACACTAAGGTCAATTACTTCAATTTTTCACTTTAGGTATATCTTTAATATCTGAAGATATCTTCAAAAGCTATGACCTTATCACTTTTATCAGTGTCAGTAGTGTCAGACTGGAGATGCTCAAGTAAAAGTCTGACACTCGATTGGGGTTAAAATTAATTGAATACATTGCTACGAAATGAAACATCTGATTATCGAGTGTCCGATTATCAAGATAAAAAGATTACTTTAGAAAAGAAAAGACTATGATATTTAGTTGAGTTACTCTGTCAGCCAAATGGGTAAATATTAAGAATTAAATTGAACTGATTTCGTTATGATATTGTGCTGGTAATGTAATGTAAAAATTCAAACTTCAATACAAAGGATTAGCTCGCCGAATATGGAAGAAGAACTAGAGATATAAATTAGATTAAAATGTATAAGATCAAGAGATTGTGGTAGTTTCATTAACAAAGTATTAACGAGATGATGGAAGATGCTAAATTGATCTATAATGAAGTCATAATGAATTATGTTACCAAGAATCTAAATAGCCACTATATGAATAATTAGTGGAATCATGACCAGAAGGGAATTGAAAATTTAAGCACTAAAGAACGGAAAACTTACGAGGTCTATAACCTCGGAGCCCAACACAGAACTGAGCTTTTCCAGAACGACACTATTGGATCGAGAGGTGAAACAGATGGTCATTCGTTCATTTGCATCTAAAAGGAGCAATTTTAGAATATGTAAATCAGATCAACATACGAACTTCTCCAGATTTTTTAATGAGCTATCCTATCAAACACCTACCAATTCGACAGGTGGGACAGTTGAACAGTCGTTCAAGTAGAAGCAAGCCGATATCTGAGAAAAATTCTACCAAAAAAAACTCTTTCGGCTGTAATTTACTTGATGTTTTGAATCACTATAACAGTTGAACATTTTCTTACATCTTTCGTCGAACAACTCTTCAACTTCTACGGGCACCCTTTTTGTGTGATTATGTACCCCTATACGACGCTTCTCCCATTCTCAGGATAAAGTTTCTAATGGTAGACTTTATGGCTTAAAGTCGTTTGGTACACTTGCAGATGTTTTGACATCCGTTTCATTATGTAAACTGCTCAATCATTTTATTATAAAATATGCACAGATGTGTCTCCATGTTAAACTACTAAGATTAATTGTATCAGGTGAAGAAAAATCAAGTCGTTCTACAATTCTGGATTCATTTGTATAAAACTCGCCAGCACGCCACATTTATTAACCTAAAGAAAGTAGCATTGAAGTAACGGTTTGTACGAGGGTCATTTTTTAAGTATGAACTGTTTTGTAATCGAGTCAGAGAAATTTTATTTATGAATGTAAATTGTATCACAAACTAAAATATAAACATTTTTTTATTTTTTTAACATAGTCACCATAAACATCTAAACACAAGTCAAGTCGTGGTACCAGTTTTTGGTTAATGTAGCATCTGAAATGTCAATAATCCCCCATATTTCTCTGGCCAATCGAAATCACATGTGTTGAAAAAATCTTCTTTATTGTAAGCGTTTCCGTGAGAACAGTGACATTCTTCAGTACTATGACAATATATTTAATTTATCTATCTTCCAGGTGATACTTTAGTTGTTTTTACTTTTCATTTTCATATTCCTATACACTGTGTTACTACACTAGTGCGAAAGGTCCTCCAACATGCTGAGATTGAAACGATCATTCCAAATTTTAAGATGACTCCTCGCAAAACCATCATAGCCGGAGACCGCGCGTGAGTAGGTATTCCCTCTCCCAAAAGGGACGTCGAGCTCTCCAAAACGACAAGCGAGCTTTTTTTAAATTTCAGATTCGTTACCCTCGTCCATAGTCCCGAAGACGCCGAAAGTACTCCAAGAGAAAGCGAAAACCCACCCAGAACTGTTGTCGAAACACACTGGTTAATTGTTATGCAATCTTCGACTAAAATGTTGCAACCTCAGAATCAGCACGAAGCGAACATGGTATGAAGAACATTACATAGGAATAGGATAAAATGGAAGGAAGTCTTAATACTACA